GCTTATGGACGCAGGTTTCTTGCTTCGTGACCCTCCTCAGACTGGAACTTGCAAGTGCGAAGATGGTGGATGCTGGAAGCTTGAAGAACAAGGTCTTTCTTGCCAGTGGCGGTGCAAGGTCACCAGACGTGAAGACGAGCTTTCTTGGATGAAGGTGCTTTGACTTGACATGTTTTGGTTTGCAAGTCCGAGGATGAGTTTGGAAAGCACAGAGAGGCTTTTAGCTCTCGGGAGTTGACCTGAGAGTCATCTGGAAGTGCTGAAGCAAAGCTCTGAGGAACAGACTTTGGCCGTTACTCACTCCGTGTGCCTTGCCCCGTCGTTCGTACCGTGTCGTGACCGTTTGACACTCGACTGAGGCGAGCTTTGCAACAGACCTGAAGTCCTGAAGCAGTAACCAAGATGTTTTGCATGTTACTTTTGCATTCTCCTTTGTCTAAACAAAGTTGAGATGTCGTTTGAAGACTTGAAGCCTTTGCTCTTAGAGAGAGCACCTTTGCTGACTCAAGACAGTGCAGCTGAACACTGACGTGTTTGGCTCAAGTGCGAACGGAAAAGCAGTCTGCGCTGAAGCTCTGCTTTTCACATGGTAGCGGAGCGTCCTGAAAAGACGTTCCAGGAAAAGCCATGGCCCAAGTTCCGGACGCGTCTGCTGCAGCCATGAGTGCCGAAGCTGCTGCTGGCGATGTTGTACGAGATCTCAAATCTCAAAAGGCAGCGGCAAGAGCTGAAGGTGCCAAGAGACTTTGCTGTCCTATGCACGCACGCTGCCCAGACACGTGCCTTTTTTGCCAGGACGAACTGAAGCGCGCAAGCAAAGCCCTCAAGAACGAAGCTGCTATCCTCAAGAAGAGCACTTCTTTTTGCGTAGCCTGCTCTAATGCAGTGTGACAGTGCGCGAAGCAGTTTTCCTTTAGGTCAGAAAACGCCGCCGACTCCTGCGAAAAGCTGGGGATTTGGACGACGACTCCCTGATTTAGCTAACTTGCATCTGAGACCAGGCAAGTGTCATCTTGGGTGTTGACCTCGCGTTCTCCGGTCGCTATTTGAGAATTTCAACCAGTTGTTCACGCCCATGATAGACCAGTTGAACAACTCGCTCATTTGGGTGGCTGCAGCACTGACGTTAAGCTGGACGAAGTGTCTTTCAGGTCCGTGGGACGTCCTGGAGGCATTGTCTGGCTGCGGTACTTGGCAGTGGCACGGCGAGGCTCCAGCAAAGTGTGCGTGTCACGCAGGCTGGTCAAGGTGGGGGAGGACCTCTGTGGCTGAAATGACAGAGACCTTGTTGCTGGATTCGGACGAACCCGTTCTAGCAAAAGGCTCTGTTTGCCATACCAATGGTGCGAAAGCGTACAGAAGCCTAGCAAGTCCGTTAAACAATGGAACCCTTTCCAACTTCCCACACTTGTGTCAAGCACAAGCCACCCCACCCGGAATTCACCAAAAGATTCCGGGTTGAGGTTTGGACCGGAGAGGAGTGGGAAGAACAAACGCGGTTGGGGGGAACCCAAAAGTTAGACGGGTTCTTTGCTAGCTTTCGAAGACTTGTGGGGAAGAAGCCGCTGAACACTGTTGGCTCTTCAGACTCACAAGCACCGCGGATGGAACAGCTTATGCATTTTGCAGTCCGTGCCTTCCAGTTGAAGTTTTGGTTTGCTGGTTGTGACATGTTTTCTTTGTATGGGAAGCTTCGTGAAACCGCCAGAGGTGGTCATGATGTTACCTGGACATGTTTGTCTTCATTTAAGGTTGCTGTTGACACTTCTCCTGTACAGGCAAGCAGAGAGGCTGTCGCTAGCAGAGAAGCTGTAGAGGTTGTTGCTTTGGACAGCCCAGCAAGCGAGCTCTTTAGCGAGCTCTTTGACGGCGAGTGAAAGAATCTGGTTTGTCCGTTTGTGGTGTTTAGGGCAGGGTTTGGGTTTTCAAGGGTCCAGACACCCCCCCCCACCCCCCCCCCCGCCCCCCCCCCCCCCCCCCCCCCCCCGCCCCCCTTTTACATACTTAATCTTGCTTGCCGTGTAAAACGCCGCGCCCGGCTTGTGTTGCATGGTGCTCACGTTGGTGTTTTTGCGTGTTTGCAGTGTCGCAGTATGCCTAATCGTAAATTTATCAATTTTATGCATTCTTGTTCGCGGCATCTTTTTTCATTGATTTCTGTAAAAAAAATATTTTTTCAAAAATCAAAAAAACCATTTGACTTTTTCATTCAATGCCTTGGATTCTGTAGACCGGTTGTGGTGTGCTTGTTGTTGTTGTTGTTGTTGTTGTTGTTGTTGTTGTTGTTGTTGTTGTTGTTGTTGTTGTTGTTGTTGTTGTTGTTGTTGTTGTTGTTGTTGTTGTTGTTGTTGTTGTTGTTGTTGTTGTTGTTGTTGTTGTTGTTGTGGTTGTGGTGGTTGTGGTTGTCAGTGGTTGTCACGCGTTACCATTGGCAGTAGTAGTGGTGTTGTGGCCGTTGTGTTGGAGTGGCGGTGTCGTCATCGTCGTAGTAGTAGTAGCAGTCGCAGTAGCAGAAGTAGTAGTAGTAGAAGTAGTAGTAGAAGTAGTAGTAGTAGTAGTAGTAGTAGTAGTAGTAGTAGTAGCAGTAGTAGTAGTAGTAGTAGTAGTAGTAGTAGTAGTAGTAGTAGTAGTAGTAGTAGTAGTAGTAGTAGTAGTAGTAGTAGTAGTAGTAGTAGTAGTAGTAGTAGTGGGTGCTACAATCTTCGTGTTGGTGTAGCCAAGAAGAAGTTCAGATCGGCTGTGGCTTCAAAATCTCACATTCCGGATGCTGTTTATGCGAAGGTTTGGGGCATGCGCTCTAGACTGAAAACCGCGTTGAGATGCATCGGAGCTCGATCTCCAAGTTTAGTGCCTCAACTTCTACCTGGCTTGAAACTAAGGGGTGTTGGCTTAAGCGACGCTGTTGTTGGATTCCTGGTCGAGTTCGTGTGCCAGGATAAGTGGCGTTGGGGCGCTAAACGGACAGCTGAACAGTGCACATGGTTGATGCTTGAATATGTATTAACGTATGGGTTCCAAAGAGGCTTCTAAAATTCCGGTATATGTCGCTAGGCGTACTTGTTCGCCGGTTTCGGGATGCCTTCCTTCACGTATTGAAGCATCACTGTCCAACTCTTCAGGCGATACGCCATCTGAGGTCCTTCGGATTTGGTAACCAAAGTGGTATCGCTGCAAGTAGAGAGTTTGTTCGTGGTGATGAGATCTCAGCAGTCTGTTTGAGAATAGCGGAGCATGTCCCTCAAATTGATCTTCAAAGAAGAGGCAAGCCTTTTGCCAAACTCTCTCTCTTACTCACGGATGACACGGATCCCCTTGCATGATGTCGTTATGTGTTTCTCTCTTTCTCACCAAGATCATTGATATCGTTCGGAGGCTCGCGAGGCTTAACTCTTCCGCAACACATGATGCTCCGCTGGATGGTTCACGTTCATCCACACATCTTGAAACATGCAAACACATGGACACTCGAAACAATATTTGTAGCAGCGGCTGTGTTCTTAAAAGCAACACTAAAAGGCAGGGAAGAAGGTATCAAGAAACGAAATGCGACCCCGAAACTGAGGCAAATACTTTTTTACCCACCCGTGAGGTTGTTTGAAAGTAGGCTCACTCGCACTCTAGGGCAAATGTCATCTTGAAACACTTTAAGCAGAGATTGGCAAATGTTGAAAATCATCGGAAGTTTGAAAAGTCGGAGTGCTGAGCGTTGCTGCGTGTTGCATGTATATGCACAATGTTTTGATCGAGAGGCAATCTGTCGACATGCGAGCAGCTCCAGCTAGCTCTTTCTCGCTGTGTATTGACGAGCGTTCTCACAGTCCGCACCGTATGTTTCTCGCTGTTTCAGTCGTGCGGGACAGCCCAAGCATGCTTAGTCATACCCGAACACATGTCGAGCTAGGTAGTTGCATCGGTAACATACAAAGTTGCCGTCGTCGATGGTATTTGCGAACGAAAAAACGAATACATAGCAACAAAGGTTGGGTTCCATTCTGCAGCCATATGGCGGTCAGGGTAGTTTCGAAAAATTTTCGAACAGCAAGTATAGTGATACACCTGAATGTGCTGTAAAACTGTGCATGCTGAAGTTAATGATCTGCAGCTACGGAAAAGATCAACAAATGGAATCATCATGTTCGCTTGCATGAATGTGTCAATGTAGCAAGGTGTTTTCCAACATTACATGACGTCAAGAAGGATTGCAGAATGCAAAGAAGTGGGACGCCTTCCGGAATGTGGTGCACACCGACAAGGCAACCAGCCCAGTGAGATGTCGTTTGGTGCGTGTTCTATTTCACTTGCGTGAGAATTCGTAAAGGCTGCTTTCATGGAACACATTGAGTACACCATGGGACCCGATGCAATTGCGAAGCTGTCGACCATGCAATGGGCAAACCAATGTTCCCTTTGGCTGCAATTATGCGTGTTGTGCGTTCATTCTGCTTCTATCACACTTGCATTCCCAATCCAGCGAGCTTCTCCGGCTATGCAAGGGATGCTCCGCGCCGTCCTCTGCCAATCTCGATGGGGCTGTGATTGCAAGTTTGGTTTTCTCCGTGGCAATTTCAAAGTCGCGGCTGCTTAGTTGATTCAGATGTGAATACTTTTGGTGTTCGTTGTGCGGTGATGCTTTGTGGAACGCACGCAGATCAGCCGTGCTGAGGGGGGCATTTGGCCCCATCTGTTCCAGATCAGTCTTCAGCTGGCGTTCTTCAAGTGCCTTGGTAGAACGTGGTTTTCTGTCGAGTTGATCACAAACAGACAAGCCTGTTGGTTTCGATTCATTGCATTAGCTAATGCAGATATCAGCATGTTGTTTTCTACGCTAGGACAGAGGACCGGCCACCGAGCACAACGTGTCGACCATGAAACGGAGTCCCACCTTTAAGATGGCAGTTGATCGGAATCTTGGGAAGGCTATTGTGTGAACAGTGGGCTGAGCCATGGGAGGTTTGTAGAATGGGTTCCTGGTACGTGTAATTAGGCTCGGTGCCCCCGTGATGAAACGACAATGCCCTTCCGGCTCCAAGGATGTCGTGGTAATTGGAAGTGGCTTGGGTGGCTTGAGCTGCGGCGCTGTTCTGGCGGCTGCTGGTCGGAAAGTCACTGTGTGTGAATCCCACTATCGGCCGCTTGACACAAAGATCACACTCAGCCTCTCTTCAATTACTTCTTACAGTTTGGATTTGCGATGCAGCGCGAAAGCTTGCTGTTGCAGAAGGTTGGGTGGCGCTTGCCACACATTTTCCGAGACAGTCGCAGATATTGGAGCAGCTGGATTGCGTGTAAGGCATCACGTGTGTCATTAAGCATCCATTTGGCTGCTGCTGATCAACAACTGTCTGAGGACTTTCGCTTCGAGTCGGGTCCATCCCTGTACAGCGGCTTGAGCCTGGAAGGAAGTCCTTCGCAGTTGAAGCACGTCCTTCAAATCGTTGGCAAGGACGGCGCTGCTCTGTTCACAATGATACAAAGCGTTTGATGCATCGGGGGCTTGTTCTGTTTCCAGAACCGTGGGCGGGGCCACTAGGCAGACAATTCACAGAACATGCCATTCGCCAATCCTCCGCCTTATCCAGAGCTACTTCTGCTTTCAGAGCATGTTTGAAAGGAGCACGTCGTTCCATCAATATGTGTGTAGGTAGTTCCACCAGCGGGCCTTGTCTTGGGCCGCCAGTGTAGGTGGCGAAAGCCTACGCGTGTGACATCAGCTTTCGAGGTTTTACACGGAAGGTGCACGGAAGGTTTTGACTAGAACGGAAGGTATTGCTATCGTAGAAGAGCAGGTAAAACCAATCACATGGGCGCAAAAATTGTTGCATGGATTGCACCTGCGCACACGGGATCCCAACATTGTTGGGGGTCTTTTGGTTTGATGCGTGTTCTATTTGCTGACTTTTATGCTCGCAGTTGATACACATGCGACCTTCAAGCTCACACGGCCCTGAGTAGGAAACATTATGCTTGTCAGCCTGAACGGGGCTTGTCCGTTTCACTCAGCATTTTCTAAATGCACGGTTGTAACGAAGTAATCTTTCTCTCAGGGGCACGGTTTAGGTTGCAGGGCGGCATCTGGCTTGCACAGTTTGATGTTGCAGTTCAGTTGTTTTGCAGGGAACGGCGTTCGAAATGTTCGAGCTGCTTGTTTGCGTGAAGTGTGAGGGTGTGTGGGTGATAGGGAGAAGCAGGCTTTCCATTTCGGTGTAATGTGAATATGTTTCTTTTCTACATCTTTTCTCACCACCGCGACCACAAGCAAATGCCCACCCACCTCGTACACCACGAGCGATGAAACATGCAGGAGCCTGAATGGATCCAATATGACCGCATCTCGTCTGACGTCATTTGGCTTATGTCTTGTGTCCATGTGCTTGTTTTTGTGTGTGTGTGGGTGTGTGCGCACCCAGGGTGGAATGCCTTCTTGCCCGAGGGGGAGGTGAACGTTGCAGTGGGTTACCAGGAAGTAGTGAACAAGTTGCTCCCCAAATATGGAGGCTTCTTGCTTGGTCGTTGCATGGTTTCAGGGATGTTCGTTGCGAATGTCACGCAGTGGAGGTCCCGATGCCGTTTCTCAATGGAAACGGCTCATGGCCGAGCTCAAGCCCATGTCCGAGGCTTTGTACAACAGCCCGCCTTTTGGGGCCCTCCGCGACGACCCCTTTGTGCCCATCACTTTGGCCAGATACACGAGGCTTGGAGAATGCCAGAAAAGACCTTCAGTTGCGTTTCTGGTTCTAACGAGCGTCTGGTTCGATTATGTTCGATTCGGCAATTGCGGCAATTCAGGCGGCTCCTCCCGCTCTTCTTCGGGATCCCTGGAGGCGCTTCCCGAATGAATGCGTGTGACGGCCATCAGCATCCAGCAGCGCTTCTTGCGAGGGGCAGCGCGGCTGAGTCAGCCTTTTGAGGCGGGATGAGAGCATTGTCAAGCCGTTTTCCTTGCCTGACCAGCCTCCTGCCAAGTTGAGATTACGTTTCGCCTCTACCAGCAAACTTTGTGTACTTTTAGCAGCATCTTCTGTTTTGAAGGCGTTCCTGAACGAAGTTGGCGTGACTGACGAGTTCGTGAGGTCCGAATTGGTCCGAATTGCTTTGCTTTGTGCAGTCGACGGGGAGAGACATTGCCAGGAACTACCTCAGTCTCTTCAGCTTCTTGCTCCAGGGTCTTCCAAGTTATGGTTCGCCAACATCCATGATGGCGGGGGCAGTGTCTGCTTTGGATGCTTTGGTCGGCCACTCTACTAAGACTAGGATCTTCTAAGTCTTGCGAATCTCAAGGCGTACATGATGGCAGATCTGTACCGCAAGGGTGGCACGTGTCTAGAGCTTGGTCATGGGTAGTTTCCTGTGTTGCAAAGCTGTTGTACTGCCCTTCTCTTGTGTTCGCTGAAGGCCTGGACTATCCCAAGGGAGGCTCAGAAGCTATTGTGAAGGCCTGTTTTCATCTCTTAATCTCTTGGTGGCCGCTTCTTTGCTGAGAGCTTTAAGACAACCTTGAGACGATTTGGAGGCGCTGGTTGATGGCATATTGGAGACCAGTCCTTGTGGCAAGGTGCTGACAAAGGCGGGACGTGGGGCAGCCTGTGCTCAAGCTGTGCTCAAGCTGTGCTCAAGCTGTGCTCAAGCTGTGCAAGCGATGTAAAAAATGTGGAGAAGCTGTGGAAGCGCCTCCGAGCCGAAGAGGCCCATGTGGAGGAGGTTCTCGTGGAGAACGGCCGTGCTTCTGGCGTGCGGCTGCGAGATGGCAGTGTTGTTCGAGCTCGCGAGGCCAGGTTTCGTAGACTGTTTGTAGACTCCAGATAACCCTTGCACCATGGCACGGTCAAGGTAGTGCTTGTTCTGCTGGATGTTGTTGTTGGTCAGGTGGTGTGTGCCACGGATGTTGGTGTTGCCAAAGGATTGGTGAAGGAGGCCAGGCAGCACTGTCCTTGTATGCAGCTGAGATTTTTTCAACCCAGGTTCCTGAGCTCCAATCTTACTTCGAGGACAAGATTCCTAACTGTGGCATGGCTGTATGCTGGTTGCCGCAGTGAGCCACTATGTCAGAAGGACCAATGGTCAGGCTTTGAGCCTCTCAAATCCTTCATCCATATCCACCTGGCCTTTCGAGGAGAGGCAGGCTAGGGTTGCAAGCGTGACTCGCAAACTTGTATTAGTAGCTTGTGGCTGGCCAATGCACAGGGCCTTCCACAGCGGCACTGCCCCGACTTTCCGGCCCAGTGGGGTGTGGTGAATCACTGGACAGATCTGGAGGCTCCGAGGCCGGAAGCGGGCGAAGCGGGCGAAGTGAGCGCGAAGATTCGCTATGTTGTGTTGTTTTTGCTGTTTTTTGGATAGCCCCGAACAGGAACTGTGTCTTGGTCAGCGTGCCTTCGCTGCTGGATGGCTGTGCCCCGCAGGAGCCGGATGTCGGCTTTAGAGATGTTTGGAGTTTGATGTGTGCCGAGCATCAGTGTTTGCAGTTGTGTTTGCTGGAAGGGCTACCACAGCTTGCACGCTTACACTCCTGCCACTGAGCCCTGGGAAGATTGGCATGCGGAGCCGACGCATTGCCGCGCATTTCATGCGGTGCTGGTCACGAGGCTTGAGTGATTCTGAGTATTCGAAGTCTGCCTGGCAGGGCCTTTCCAAGGATCAGCCTCTCGGCCTCACATTCATACACGCTCGCGATTTCTTAGCATCAGTTTGTCACAAAACTTGCATCGTGTAGTAGCTGGAGAGAGGCACAAGCAGTGGAAGTCAACGGGCGGAATGGACTTGGATTGTATGTGAGAATGCATGCAGTGGTACGACGGCCTCCGCACTCATGTGCGCGATGGCTGCGCCTGAAACGGATCGCAGTATCTGCGGGTCCATGAATGTGAAATCAAGTCTTCCAAGGGTGCACGAAGTTGGCGACTTTTTCATGCGATGGCGAGTCCGACAGCGGCCATCTACGGCTGCGCGCACGCGAACATGCACTCGCAGGATCCCCGCATAGCCATTTGGGGCACTCACTGCCGGGAAACCGAATTGGCAGGACTCTTTTGGACGTGATGAAACATGCAAAGCAAAAGTAAGGAGGAGAAGACGAATTGCCGCTCACAACCCGGCTGGATCTTCCCAAGTTATCCAGTTCTCCCTGCTATCAGGATGGTTGATCTGGGTTACTTGCTAATGCTTGTCAATCTGCATCTCGACATCGCGACTACCAGGCAACAACACAAGTACCTGTCGCAAAATGTGGTACAAGGATGCAAGTGCCACGGACTAGGCAAGGTATGCATCACCATGTACAGGTGCCCACGCATGCACGGACTTGCAAAATCTAGGGGATAGGTCATCATCCGATCTCATGTGACGCAGCGTGATATCATGGCTGCACATGTTGTTAGGTATCAGAAGAAAAAGCTGGAAGCCGGAGATTTCCTAATGTCCGCGATCGAGCGCCAAGTTTCTTGGCAGACCATGCTTTCGCATTCCGTGGCACATTCACAATCTTTCTGTCGTTGCTGCCGTTGCGAGCAAGGTTCCAGACATGCGTTCCAGAGTTGTCTTTCAAAAAGTTGGGACGCCGCTAACTCACGCGCTGCGGGCTCAGTTCACACTTGGCACCCTTATGGCCATAAGTTCCCGGTGTCCAAGGCGCTTTCTGAGAAAACCCAAAGGGGCATATGGCTGGAGAGCCTGTGCCTCGGGACGCCCTTGTCTTGTTTAGCCAGCGCTAGCATGGACAAACCAGAGGTGCTCGCAGGCTCCAACCTCCCAGGACACACGACTCCCCTTCAAGGACGTCAGCACACAGTTCGTGCAATTCCCTGGGCGAGTTTGAAAGTTTCTGTAGGATTTCACTTGTGTGGCGACTCTACATATCCTGGCATCGGAGTTCCTTCAGCAGCCATGAGTGGGCATATCTGCTTGGCACTTACTTGTCGGCGCAGTGTTGGCATGACACAGGACTCAGTCACGCATTGCTTGAGGTGCAAACAACATCCTTCCCGTCTCAGAACATTGGAGACTGCTTGACAGGATACCTGAGTGGCGATACGAGCTTGACATGTGATTGCTTCCGAGAAAATACACTTTACCACAGTGTGTTGTTTGATTGACCTGTGGAAAGCTGGATGATTTTGTGCTGGTTCCAAGCTGTGCATTTGAAGTGGCAAGATGGATGTCATTTGAGGTGATACGGTTTCAATTGAGTTGAAGATATCTACAGTCTGAAGTGCCGCGCGGGCATATGGAATAATGGATTTTGCAAAGAGGCAAACATCTAGAGCGAAATTTGTGCGGCTGGTAGCACGAAGAGAGCCTCTTCCACAGACTGCTTGTGTCCATGGGCCCATGGGCATCTCCTGTACAGACACGATGTCAGGCAGGCGCTCTCGACGCTCCAGTGCTGTCTTGCGTGCTCACATCCCGCGGAGAGGTGGTGTCGTGTTGTACCTTACGTTGTACCTGATACTCTTGGCATTCGGGGTTCAAAAGGCCTGGGTGGGATACGCTGGATACACAGCTGAGAGATCAGCGAGGCAGCGCACACTGACAGTGTGTACTCACTGTACTCGTCCTTCTCGTCCTTCTCGGCCACAAGCAGCAATCACTTCTGCGGGCAAGGATCTTGAACAGATACTGATTGATGCACACACTGTGGCCGACGAGCAGTTTGCTTCTACTTGGAACAGCATTTTCCACAAAGGACGGGACGGAGGCGTGCCTGGCTTGCGGGCATGGTTGACTCGGCTCAACCTGACGGATCATATCCACGCAGCCGTCTTTTGGGCAGACCGTATGGGCGCCTGTGCTTTGGAAGAGATTGTGGAGAACTTTGAGGATTTTGCCGCAGACCTTGGCTTGGGTGACACAAAGCTCGAGCCTTTGCGGTATGCCGAAGAGGCGACGGACGTAAACGTCAAGCAGCGTCACATGAATGCTAAGGAGGCAGACGAGTCTTTGCTGTATTTGCTTCTGAATTGCCCGGACCGACATATGCCGTTCGAAGACTTCGATGCCTCTTTCGATACAACACTCAAGTCACTATGCAGCAGTTGCTCCAGACTGACATCCTCACTGGAAGAGTCATTTTCTCGAGAAGTGAAGGATCGTTTGAAGGCAGATTTGCAGTATCTCCGAGTGATGCGGGAATACTTTGCACTTAATCTTCCACTGCCCCCCTGTCTGGACACCAACAAGACCGACAAGACTTGGACTTTCTGTGGTGGTTGCGAGAAGTGGCTCGAGTTGGCTCGTGATGCGGCTTTTCCAGTCACACTGTTGCCGCTAACACGTCCGGTGCGTCAGGCCATGGAACAAGCTGTGGTTGGCGCTCGTGGCTCGCAGCTGCTGCGCACATATGTTGCGTCAGAGAGCGGCGTGGCTGGCATTGGTAAGGAGAGCCTCCTTCAACTTGTCAATTCCTCGAAGCAGTTGGTTTTGAAAGCCGCGCGGACCTTGGCGGGGGCTGGCGGCCTGCCGGATTGGAACCGATCAGCTTCGGATGGTTTGGTCCCGCTCGGAGTTGTCAAGCATGCATCACAGAACAGGTCTGAAATTGCTCTGCAGATTCACAGGTACTTCGAATTCATGTCGAACACGCGAGTCGCACAAGCGGACAGGTACTTCGGACATGTGCTGTTCGGGTATTTGCTCAGCCGACTAAGCCAGCGCTTCGATTTGCTTGGGAGCGCTGGCTTGCTCAGCCTTCATCCAGACGTCCAGCGCCTGAAGCTTGCCCAAATCTACCGGGGAGATGGCCGCAATGGCCAGAAAGGCCAGAAAGGTCCTTCGCAAGAGGAAGTGCAAGCAAGGCTTGGCGACGAGGTCTTCGAACAATTTGTTCGCACATCGCTGGACGCCGAGACATGCTCAGACCTCATGGAAGTGAGCCCAACAGCCGTGCAGGCGATTCGCAGGCACACAGACCAGATCTTTGGTAGAGGCCTGCGTGAAGAGGTCTTCGTTCCCTTGACCCGCGCATCCCGCGCTAGTGCAGACAATGGTGAAGTGGCTGCTGGTCCGCAAGTATGCATGGATTTTTTGTTGGAAGCAGCCCGTAACTCGGAGTTGCGCATGCTTTCACTGAATCTTGGGGCCGCTGAACGCCTGATGTGGCATGGCCTCGTGTTTGGAGCTTTGTTGCAGAAGCATGAGATTGAATGAAGCGCAAAAGATTTTGCACTAGACTCTGCCGCACCCTTTGCAGATGTTTGTGCAATTCTCAGGAGCTGTGGCCTGTAGTTGCGGGATTCAGCAAGACAAAAGATGAAAAACTTCAACGTGCAAACAGGCCGAAATGCAGTTCACAAAGAGCTCGTGTGCAAGTCACACCGCAATCAAGAAACCAACGTGATCTGCTTCCAGTGTTCTTGCAAAGCCCTGCAGCATGGCGCCACTAGCAAAGAAGGCAGGTTGTTAACGGAGTGATGCGTTGTGGCATGCTTCTGTGCCTGTGCAGTGCCAGTGAACGCATGGGAGGCCCGCACCACGGCCTCACAGGGGAACATTTCCTCCTTTTTTGGGCTGGTCACTGAGCTTCGGAGAAATGATGCTTGCACTGCCTTGCACTGCCTTGCCAGCCTTGCACTGACGAACGAGGCCAAAGAAAGCTGTTGAGGCTACGTCAACGCAGTGAAACATGGATGATCACTTCATGATCCCATCATGACTGGTTGGTGCGTGGCACGCCTTCTGAGAACCCAAGGGGAAACGGGGCCCGGCAGGCATCGCAGACGAACGAAAAGCCGGAGCTCAAGGCAGAGGGCTCCACGGAGCTGCAGAAGCCTCCAGGTGGCTCTTGAGTTGTTTGTGCAGGTTTTCCAAGTGTTCCCTCCCTCTACATGTGTTCCGCGGGTCGAAAGAAAGCGGGAGTGTTTGTGTGTACTCATATCATATAGATGCACTGATATGTGTGTGTTCTGTTCTGCTTTTCTGCGAGCCAGGCCAAGTCTGCACACCCACCAAAGACGAGCACCACAAAGTTTGTTCGGCACCGAGAACATACTACTGCCCGGATCTGCCCCGGCCCGAGGGAAAAACTTAGCTGTTGTGAGGTCCATCTGTACCGACACCAGAGAAGTCTTGAGCTCGGGGGGTTTCGCGGATCCATGCAGTGCAACTTTTGACCGGAGAGCAACGAGGTCGAGCCCTCCCGTTCCCCGCAGAGTTGCGACTGCCTGCAGTGGCAGATTTCAGAGTGGCTTCGCACGCCGGCCTCTGAATCCATTTTTCCCGACTGATAGAAGCTGCAGAGCATTGCAGAGCAGAGCTGCAAGTTGAGGTGACAAGGCGAGCAGCTGGCAGCAGAGCCTCGGCAAAGTTTCAGAGACTTGTATTTGCACCGATTGCATGCGGTAGTCTCTCGCAGTCTCTGGATTTCTCAATCTCTCCGTACCCTTGCCGCATGGTCTTTGCTCTGGCTTGGCTTTGGGGGCGGTGTGAGGTACAACAATCTCTACCGCCTCCGGTTGAAGCAGCTGGCAGGCAGGAATGCAAGGGAAATCTTCTATGGGCCTCCCCCATGTTTCTCCTTCGGCACGAGAAGCGGCTTAAGGTGCATGCCGGGATGAGGCCCCGAGCCAAGGAGAGTCCAAGCATCTGATCAGAACATCATCTTTTGTGCTTCGCGAGGCGAAGAGGAAGTGGAGCTCTGTGGCAGGCAAAGGCAAGGCGCCGAGAACGAGAACATCTGTTTGCACGTGATCACAAGCACTCGCAGCAGATCATGCGTTGTTGCCGCAGGCTTCCTTCAGGATTTGAGCGAGTTCCGTGGTGGCAGCGATATGGAGATCGTGGTTGTGGGGGTGCTGTTCAAGGCGAGGGAGAGGACCGCATTATTGAAGTGACAGCTGGAAAGTTGGTTGATGCAGGAGCTGCACAACCGACCAAATGTCATTGACCAGTTGCCTGGTTGCATCTTGCAGAGAAGTGGGGCTCCTTGCCTTTTAGCTTACCTTGCATCTGAAGGTACAAGGGCAGCAAAGCTCTGCTCAACGGTGCCAAGGTTGCTGGGCCGCTTTTCCACTACTAGTGCCTTGAGTGGTGCCTGGTCCCTGATAGGAAGAAGTTTCCGTGTTGTACTCCGAGAAGGATACCTTGTGGCTGGAGGAGACGACATAGGTTTGATTCTTTTTACATCCCCTGCTATCAATGCGTTTCTTGTTCTGCAGTTGAGTTTGACAGAAGCTCATTCCTCGTATTTCTGCGTCATGAGGTGCCATTCTTTACTATTGCTACTCCTGCCACCCCTGCCACTACCACTACCACTGCCACTGCCACTATCACTACCACTACCACTACCACTAGGAATCCGACTCCGACTGCGGCTCCGACTACGACTACGGCTATGATTACGACTACGGCTACAACTACTCCGACTACTACCCCGACTACTACTCGACGACGATTACTGCTACTACTACTACTACTACTACTACTACTACTACTACTACTACTACTACTACTACTACTACTACTACTACTACTGCTACTGCTACTGCTACGACTACTACTACTACTACCACTACTACCACTACTACCACTACTACCACTACTACCACTACTACCACTACTACCACTACTACCACTACTACCACTACTACCACTACTACCACTACTACCACTACTACCACTACTACTACTACTACTACTACACTACTACTACTACTACTACTACTACTACTACTACTACTACTACTACTACTACTGCTACTGCTACTACTACTACTACTACTACCACTACTACCACTACTACCACTACTACCACTACTACCACTACTACCACTACTACCACTACTACCACTACTACCACTACTACCACTACTACCACTACTACCACTACTACCACTACTACCACTACTACCACACTACCGTCACTCCCACCACTACCACCACTGCCACCACTGCCGCCACCACCACCACCACCACCACCACCACTACCACTACCACTACCACTACCACTACCACTACCACTACTACATTCACTGATTCACTCATTCACTCATTCATTCATTCACTCATTCATGCATTCATGCATTCATGCATTCATGCATTCATGCATTCATGCATTCATGCATTCATTCATTCATTCATTCATTCATTCATTCATTTTTGAGCGTTTGTGATCCGTGGCCCGAGTGCGTAGCTGCATTGAAGGATTGCGTAATGCGAGTCCAGCTAGAAGTCGACCAAGAAGTGCTGGCCTGCTTCCCAAGCAGCTCCGGAGTATGCCATGAAGAGCGCATGCAGAGCCCTGCCATTGCCCTCCTGCGAGGCCGTGCTTGCCACAGGCTTTGTTGTGGCAGTGCGCGGTGTGGCGACACAGGTCCAGTGAGGGTTCTGAGGATTTTGCACATATTTCGTGACTCCAGAGAACGTGCCTTGAGAGAAGACAGTGAAGGCTGGTACCCTTAGAGTCCATGGCGTGCAACTGCCGAGGACAGCATGCAGAGAGCATACCGAGAGCAATGTTGCTGTGGCTCTTTGCTGCTTTGCTCCTCAGAGGATGCCAGTGATGCCTCCGATCTCTTCGCCTTGGGCTCAAAGCGCCGGAGGGTGAAGCGTGGCATGCGTGGCAACATATGATAACATATGCAGCGAGTGCCGAGGTCTGAGACAAGTGGGCCAGGCTCCCACGGTGTAGAGATGTGCCGAGGGTGTGTGTTTGTGTGTGTTTGTGTGTGTGTGGACGAATGCGACACCGAGGCCATTCATTGCCTTCGTCTCTGGTTTGGGTTTTGGCGACCAGAAAAATATGGAGGTTGGTTTCGTATTCTTCCGTGCACAAATCACAATGAAGCGAAGATGATGCAGGCGAGAGCAAAGGCTCTTGATTTTCTCTCTGGCAAGGTGACGGTGCACTTATGTCAGATGATGTCACATTGCTCTTTGAGATCTGTGCAGTCCAGGTGCCGGGACCAGCTGTTCAACACGTGGTGGTATGCGAGCTCCTCATGCTTCGTTACTGCCACCAAAAACAGCGAGTCCTAAGATGAAAATGGTGCTGGGCCGGTTTTAAACAGAAACAGGCTTTGCAGCTCTGGCACACATTTTCACTCCGAGCGAATGTTGGAACAAGCGAGAAATGTCATGACACATTGAAGCGCTTGCTCAACAGCACCATTGGCATGATGGAGTTGCGCAATTAGACATTAATTTGGGCCTTATCAGTGGCATTGTTTCGAGTTATGTTGTTTACAAGACTCTCTGCCCAACTCAGCATGGCTCCTGACTCCCTTATGAACTAAGACTCGATTTGCGGAGGCTTGAGCAAATTTACAGACACCAATGCTGCCTTTTGCTGACTTGGGTGGAATGCTACATGGACTGAGGTGGAGGCTGCTTCGCCCAAAGCTGTCAAGTTGACAGCGATGTGAAGGCTCTTGGATGACAGATGGGAGTTGTGGGTTTGCCATGGTTTGCCGAGCAGTGCCGAGCAGTGCCGAGCAATGCTGCAAGTGAGTCTTAGATTCCTCCTAAAGTGTTGGAGTGTTGGAGTGTTGGAGGCAGTGGCCGCAGCACTGCGGCAAATGGATACCGAGATGCTGCCACTGGTCGAGGCAAAGTCTGTCCAGGCCGCTGCAGTTCCACATCTGGGCTGTGCTCCGAAGTATCCCTCTGAGTATCCGTGAGTTGTGAAGATTTGCGCAGGTCATGCCAAGTTATGGCGAGCCAACCAATGCCAGCATGCCGCAGCTCCCGTCCCCTGACGCCTACGGATACGATAAATGACGTGGGGTTCAGGGGTGATGGGCGTGCGAACGTGGAAAGCATGCGGAAGCAGAGAGCTTCGTAGTAATCACAGAGATCATCTGCAGGAGAGATTCTCAAAATGGACAGAAAGCCTAAAAACAAGACGATTTACTGGCAACGCGAGGTTTCACCGCAGCCTCTTCCAGCTCTCCTCGTCTTCCGGCTTCCGGCCTGTAGGCGCGCCAGAGAGCGGAAGACCTGAGACCCGTTTCGACACATAGGGCGCTTCTTTGTGAGAGAGGGAGAGAGGGAGAGAGGGAGAGAGGGAGAGAGGGAGAGAGGGAGAGAGGGAGAGAGGGAGAGAGGGAGAGAGGGAGAGAGGGAGAGAGGGATGAGAGCTAAAGGTGCATCAGCGTGGGCCTAAAAAGGCCAATTCAAACTGGACCAAAAGTAGAATATGGATTGTCGTGAACCAGCGACATGGGACAAAGTTCCAATTCTAGTGCCTAACTGAACCAGCTGTGTTATTTGGTGTAGAGACACCATCGTGAAAACATCAATTTCTTTCAGAACACACGAGCGCTCGACACGGCAGCATACGACACGGCATGTGGCGGCATACAGCCGCTCCATCGTTTTGCCCATTTTGCCCCTTCTCTTCGATCTGATAGGCAACCCTTGCAGCCTGAACTTCGACGGCTTGGAGGTCCTGGGACATTCCGGGGAGCCGGTGAAGGCCAGGACATGGCGGAAGCGAAGATTGTCGAAGCCACCAATGTGTCTTTGCCACATGCCAAGACACGCCAAGACATGCCAAGGACCTGCTGCGTTGCACGCAGCTCCAGCCCATGCAGGCTCTGCAGAAATGCCTGGAGGCTGGACTCGGTTGAGATGTCTGCTTTGAGATGTTTCTTTGAGACTTGCAAACACATAACACAAGTCACCTCAGCGATGTCGAGAGCTGTGTGGCAGTTCTAGCTCTCATCGGCACAAGCTGTCGGCACAAGCTGTCACAGGCAGAAACTCGTTTGCAGTATCTAGCAGTAGTTTCTTCTCGGCCCCTCTATGGACATGCAGACACTTCCTGGAGACGGGGCTCACAAAGGGTGATAGACTGTGATAGCCAGCCATTCTGCTCAAATGATATGTGGTCCCTCCTGCGAATCTGGATGTGTCGGCACCTAACTGCCCAAAACCGTAAGCGCTGAGCCCGAAAAGACACAATGACCTTGCAAGCGCACGCCTTAAAGCCATGGACCATGAAACCCTAATGGGGGGGGTTTTCGACAAGAGGGGACCCCTACAATAGACCCCCAAATAGTAGGATTCCCTAAAAATCAGGACCCAAAAAGGTTTAATGAGAACAGCAAAATTCACGTTGATTGACGTGTTGAAGTGTGGCGGAGAAGGGACGGAGATGTGGGAAGTGTGTGAAAAGGCACGCCACTTGGCTCCAACTGCGCCGGACACGCCTCCCACCAAGGCTCTTCCGTGGAACGTGAGCCTGTGTATGCTCAGCGCGCAAAGGCTTCTGACGCAGCCCTTCGAGGACTCAGATCCGTTCGTTCTGGAGTCCGCGATGTCCTCAGAGCACTGGCCGAAGGCCCTGCCGGTCCCGTAGCACGTGCAAGATGTGCCAAGATGTGCCTGAAGGTCCCGCACATCCTTTTCTCTGGTGGCCACGACAAAGCTGCCAGCTCCAGAGTTGCGAAATGCTGCGAAGTGGAGGAGCTTCGGATTCCGAGAGCTTCTTTTCTTCTATGGATTGTGCTTCTGAGGTGCAAGCCTGGCACCCATGTGCCCGAGGTGGAGGAGGAACCCAGAGCGCTGCTGAGATCTTTTTTACGACATCCTGAAGTGCTGATTCGTGTTGCCTTAGTAAACTTAGGTGCATCTGCGTTCCTGCTTTCCATTTGCAGCCTGCCGTCGTTCTGGTCAACTTGCGAGACCCTCGGGATGTGCGAGTTGAGGCCGGCAGCTGATAAGACATTCTGTGCAATTTCTGTGTAATCTTGCGGACTGGACAGCACTATGCCAGGAATTTTCTGTGACGCAGAAGTAAATGCAGACATGAGTGGGCCGTTAGCATGCGGGTAGGTGCTTTTCGTGAAAAGCCCGCGGGAAGCATGCCGTAGCTAATCAATCCTAAATCTCGTGACGGGCGTGACGACGGCTGAAAGCAGCCATCGCTGGGGCAGGGGCTTGGGGAAAACTGCAGCGAGCAACGCAATAAGAAGTGCTGGTCATGAATTGTTGCGCTGTGCAGAAGGTTGCGTTTGCCGGGAACTGCACAAGTGCTAGCAACAACATGCTCAAAACAGCAGAGGCAGGAGCTGGCAGCAGTTGATGTATTAAAGTCATCATAGACTCTTCGTATCAACTTGAGATGTGCAGGTTGAGCTTAAGCTAGTGCTTAACTTGCATGGTGTACTCGGATTCACCCAATGAGCTTTTGTGAATTCCGGTGCTTCCCGTTGCACAGATCATGCCTGGTGCTCGGATCTGCTCAGCAATACTCGGTGAGATGTTGGATGTCGCAATCACCATCAAGATCAGGTCTTGTCTGGGATTCGCTTTGGCATCTTCGCGCGTTGTTGGCAAAGGGTCGCTGAAGGCATGCAGAGCACTTGGCACGTACTTGGCACGTAGGTCTCTCATGCCTTCTGCGGAGGTGGGCAACAATGCTCCCAACCAATGGCGACTGAATAAAAGCGATGCTTGTGTCTCAGTTGCTGAGACCTTTGGTGGAAACTGTGCCGCTGCCGAGTGCTCGAGGCTGATGTACGAAAAGAGGCACAGAAACGTGCGAGACAGAGCTTCCCGGAACGACCACGTGTCTTTCTTGACATTGAGGACGGGCTGGGTTTTCATTCCCATTCAGCATGTCGGCCATGTTACTGTAGCGGTCAGCGGCAATCAAAGACCGCAGGAAGCCGCAAGCCTGTGAGGGTCCTTAAGAGAACTCCGAAATTCGTCCAGCACAAGCCAGTTGCAAGTCGCTTCCTGCCTCCTGTGTGAAGGTCCAAATACGTAGATCGTACGAGGTCCGAATACCCGCAATATCGGTCAGGACCCAGGTGACTTTGAAGCACGGTGTTCTCAACCGACATGTTGGTGATGTCCGGGAAGCCTGTCGCAAGATTAGGTTCACCCCGGCCTCAAACTTCTGTGGGTCGTGCTTTCGTGAGTCACAGTTCCCTTCGTCTGCTGTCCAATCCGCAATGATTTGATCTCCAAGTATTCCGATGTGTCGGCACGAAACCTATTTTAACAGGGCCACGTATGCACAATCGCAGCATGCAAACTCTCGAAGATGCAGCAAGCTGGCACACAGAAACTTAAGTGGTTCGTTGGAGGCAGTGAGTCCCTTGCAAGTGGTGGTTCAGTTTCTACATTCGGGCTTTGGTGCAGGTAGCTGGTCATCCGGCAGTGCGGATCGTTTGAAACATGGCAGCAAGAAATACCGGACAAGCTTTGACCTCACGAAGCTACACAAGGTCGCCCTGACACTCGCTGAGGCGAGTTGTTCTCGGATCTTGTTCCCAAGACGGCGTGGTGCTCAGTTGCCGTTGCTTCCCAACGATTGTTCATCATTGACCATACGCGCATGGAACCGTCAAACTGGGTCCGACTTTTGCCCCCACCCATGACGGTATTGTTTGCAAGGAGCTGAAGCTCAAATTTCGCGCCAGCAAAATTCGAAGACGATATTCGATCATGGAATTGATGAATGTGAGCTGGGAGGCAAGCCCTAGTATGGAAACAGGGAATGGAAGCTGGAAAACAAGCCTCGCTCTTTGGAAATCAGGACTTGGAGCTGGGAAAGAAGCCCTACTCTATGGAAATGCGAAGTCATTGAAGTGGGGACTGAGAGGCCCTGCAAGCCCTACTGTGACACGATGACACGAGCACTTTTGCGTCAAAGCGCTGCGCGCACTCGGGTTGCACATCCCGCATCATCCCGCCGCAAAATTCCGAACTGTGTGGGCGGGAAAGCTGAGCCGCGGACAGGTTTGGCCTGTATGTGGCGTATTTCTGTAGCTGAGCCTCTTTCTGTAGCCCACCGGTTGAAAAGTTCCGACAGTTGCCGAGGCCGAGAACTTCCGATGCCTATGCACTGGTGAGAAGGGCCTTGGAGAGCAACTTGACTCAAGAAATGTAGACACGTCAGCGCAAGCACTCAGCAGAGGGCTTGCGATGTGGTGCAGCTATGTCCAGCAGATGTTCAGCTTTGTATTTGTGCCGTTGTGAAGGGCGGGGAAGCCTCTTCACTTGAAGGGCAATGCATTTCATCGGGCCAAGGCCTCAGGATTCATAGATTTTGTCCAGGAATGTATCCATTTGACTCCATTTGTATATTCGTTCCTTTTATCCGTTTTTGGAAAAATCACGTAAGCATTTTCAAGCCAATCGTAGCACTCAGGTGGTGCCGGGCTTTGCCATCCAAGGCTTTTCTCTTCTGCAAAGCTCGTGTCAACATGCGCCCCATGCGCATAATGTGCAGGGGGAGACATTACCAGAGGTGATGGCACAGGAGGCGAGTCTGCCAGCTCCCTCAGTGCCTTAAGCTTGTGCAGACGAGGCAGGCAAACGCAATCTCGATCAAGGCCGGCGCTTATTTCTGGCCTTTGCCCCTTTGTGTGTGGATTTTGAGGTTTACGGGCCGACGTTCGAGGACGAGAGCTTCGACCTCTCCCACGACTCAGCAGGCCACGTTGTGTTTCCAGCTTGCGTGTGCTCCTCCGTTGGAGTTTGTCAATGTGTCCGCGGACAGCATCTGGAAAGAAGTAAACGTGTGAAAGAGGAACAGCTCGAGCGAGGTGGTCAATGTTTTCGTTCCACAAACAGCCTTAGTAGAGGGCCTGCCGCTGGAACAGCCTTGATTACCGAAAAAAAGGCTACATCTCTTGTTTCATCTTCACCGCTGGCGTTTGCGCTCCGTTTTGTGCTGCTCTCAGCATCCGAGAAGTCCACAGCCGAAAGTGACGTCAATCACCTTTCGCAACCACTTTGCGTTCCTGGTAAGACCTAGTGCATGAATCACATGACTCAAAGCGGCCGCGAAGCTTCGCAAAGATGTTTTGTTTTTGAGCGCTCGTGCAGGCAACAATGTGGACACATGGAAAAAACAATCAAGACAAACCACGAACAACTACGCCATCATTTTCTGCATGTGAGGCTTCTCTTTGTTGTATCCTCTCATGCATCTTGGTGTGTTTTGGCAGGGCTGCTGAGCATGGCAAACACAGGGCCAAACACGAACAGCCCGGTCCTCTGCAGGGATTCTTTGTGTTATACTTGCATGTAATTTCTACTGAGCTGGCACTGGCAGCCTTTTTCAGGCTCCCAGTTTTTCATTCTGACAAAGGCGGGTTTCTCTAGTGTTTCGCAGCGGTGAAAATGTCCAACGTGTCAGCAACGCGAGGCATACCCAAAGCTCGATCTGAAGCACGTCGTCTTCGGGCGCGTGGTCGAAGGCATGGGGACCGTGCGTCGCCGCTTCCTCATGCAGACATCTCTGCAAAGCACCCGACAAGCCTGGTTTTGTTAAGACTCGCTCAATTTGGTATTTCAACAGGTTGCGCTGGCCGCATGGCACCTGGACCCAGGTATCGAAGAAACCTGCGGCACAGCTGACGCGGGATCCGAGCTTTGTCAGCGCCTCAGGTCATTGCCAACACAAGAAACAAGTTCACCAAATATGGGAAGGGACAAGTGCTTTGCAACAGCCGCTTGCGAGGCCGCGCGCAAAAGCATCACGGCGTTCTGGCATTTCGGTCGCAGCCTTGAAAATATTCCTGGAAACAAACGTCATTAGCATGGTGCGACAACTTTACGCGCTGTGCAGTCCTGGTGCAGGCCCGGTCTTGGTGATGCAAAGGCCATCATCACGAATTGCGGCGAGATCCAGGAGCTCTGCTCATCCACGTAAGTTGTTGAAATCAAATGTCGAGCATGTGTCGGGAGAACAGCGCAGTACAGTCGTTTCGGCAAGCTCCGGCCCTTCCAAGGAGACAGAGGAGGCAGAGGAGGCAAAGGCCAAAAGGGCCAAGGCTTCCACCACCGACAAGGCTCCAGTCTCCAGCAAGTTTCATTCTGGCCCCATGTGCTAGATTCCGCTAGATCAGATCCGCTAGATTCTTAGATACCGTTTGTGAGCATCTGTGAGCTGCAGGTCCACCTTTTCCACATGCTTAAGAAGTACAAAGGGGCACGCAAGCCCGTTACATGGCGTGGTGAGGAGGTGACTTGCTCGAAGGGCAAGGCCTCGGCCTTAGAGTGACAGAGGAAGAGAGTATGAGAGAGTATGAGAGAGTGAGCAGGAGTGAGCAGGAGTGAGCAGGAGTGAGCTCAAGGCGGAGCCCGCGTCTTGAGCAATTCGCTGATGGGTTCGACTCTCGCATCCTGCTAGTAGCGAGTACTTCTCTTTGATGGTCGGGCCTGGATACTTGGGCAGCGACCGCGTGAACTTCTTTACGAACACTTTACGTAGGGCTTCCACGCGACAGGCAGCCCTTTTAGTTATGTCGAGTACGGGCGCGTCTCCGCCGCACCATGGGAGGTGAGGGTGAGCTGAGGTTTGCGCGGCGACAAATGACCAAGAATGACCTAGAACGGCAGACGCATTCACAGGGTGGGTTGTCCATCCAAGGCGGGCGCATGTTCCCGAAACTGGACCATGAATGCGCCGTGTCCGTGCATAAGCTAAGACGGGCTGTTCTCTGACGAAGTGCACGCACAAAGCCTTGCAAACAAGCACAAGGACGAGGTGAACTCAGACCACATTTCCACTGATACCCTCCTTTAAACTTCCGCCGAGTTTTCACCCGAGACTTCCGGACAGGGCAGCGGGTCGCAGTGGTCGGGGTGCCTTGAGGGGGCTCCTCTGAGAGAGTGAGAGAGTGGGACAACGCGTAGATGCGCGTGGGTTCATAAGAAATGTCCAGCAAGAGCACGCGAGGCCAAGGTGGCCTTGGAGAACCTTCGCAAGAGACTCACAGCTGCTCCGGCAATGCAGCGCCTCGGCGTAATTCGACTTTACTTCACTGGTGTCACTGACCCGCAGAAAGAAAGTAGCAGGATCATAGGATCATAGGGATCATTCATTGTAGGTGGAAGCCCAAGTCTGATACAATATGCTGGCCCCCAGCCTCTTGCGGGACCCTTACCCACGCCCAACCTGCAGGTCCTCCGGTTGGACCCCTTAGCAGCTAAGCCATCTCAGATCATCTCAGCATAAGCGGCGCAAGAGATGGCGCAACATTTTGCGCAGGTGCTTTTTCGTGACGCTTCACGCTGACTCCATGGCTAGCTTGGATGTCACAGTCTTCTGAAGAGAAGTCCTTGAGAAAGATGATGTACATAAACGTATCATGAAAAAATGTCACAAAGTATCACAAGACGCTTGCAAGTGTGCTTCCGCGTCGACATGCCCAACCATGCCGAAGACAATCGCTTCCCCTTAGGAGCGTACCAACAGAACAAGTGGAAGATGTCGTGGCAAAACTCACCACGCTTTGCATGTTTTTTTTGGGGCGTATCCAGGCTCCTGTTCTTTGAGCTCGCTCGCGACCATTCAGATGACCCCACATCCAAGAATGGTCCCTGCCTCGAATCCTCGAAGGGTTGATTGCCGCTGCTACCATGACCATTACCTTCCTTGGCAACCCAGTTGTAAAGCAGGTGGTGACTTGGGACTGGTGGAGAGAGGTAGCCTGCAGCCGAAGGTGGAGGAGACAGAGCAAACTTGTGTCAACTTTCCTTTTCATGTGAGCTGATGTCTGTTGGAAGGATGTCGGTTTCTCCCTCCAGAAGAACGAGCTGTCTCAGGCAAAGACTTGGTAGCTGGACTGCAAGATCTGATTACGTATCCGCATCTCGCAGGTGTTTGAGGACGAGTTTGGTGTACATCTCTTACTCCGACCTGAGCTTGGACGCAAGCATTGAGAGAATCAGGTCAGGATAGATCCTGCAAGCTGAGGCTGCGACTGAGTCCGCGTCTGGAGAGATAAGCGCGGATCCATCGTGCATAGGCCAAAACAAGGATTGCACACAGCTCTGCAGCTCTCGAGCCTCATGCAATCTGGTATTGCGTAGTGTTCGACTAGGTATGCAAGTCTTCTCTGTGTGTGGATTGGGCAGCCCTAGGTCCAAAGGGAGAGCCTACATAGCCTTAAGTATGTCTTCAGCCTAAAGCCTTTCAGCTCTTCCTTAACCACGTGGCCAAGAAGAAAATGGTCTCTATTTGAGATAGGGCTACAAGGCCTGCTCTTTATGCCTCTCATAAAAATGCCAAATTGCCACCCTGTGCAGGCCGCTATACCCGGCGAAGCATTCGAGAGCGCTACGTTACGTGCGAGCGTTACGACGCCTTGCTCCTCTATCGTTTGCCTCAGTCTCTGGGTCCTGGCCACCGAGAAGAGCGGCCCGTTGGAATCGGGACGAGCGCGCGATCTCGGCAGCTCGACCGTGTATGAGCATTGTATGAGCGCTCTGCCCTCCACCCCGCCTCCCTCGTCTTTGCCGCGCGAGCTTCCAGGGGACCTCCAGATGTGGCTCCCACGCGAGGCCGCGGTTGCCGGCGAGCACACGGAGGAACTGCGTTCTTGGAGGAATCTGCGTCGCACCATCGGAGAATGCGAGGACACGCCGACTGCAGATGCTGCGCGGCAAGAAAGTGTGCAATAGGAATTGCAAGAAATGCATAGCGAGATGCAGGATTGCAATGTCGATGATGACAAGCAGCATTTTTGGCAAGCAATGCTTCGAACAAGCATCACTCCACAAAGATAGTACAATTGTTGGATGTGCCGGGCCTGTCAGTTAGATGTGCCAGCAAATGCCACTGTTGCACATCCTCGCGATCACGGAACGCCGGAGCTGCTGGCACACAAGCTGGGTGGACGGAGCGTTTGAGGATGTGAATCTCGACAGCGAAATTGTGGGCCAACATAGGCCCGCAGACATACATTGTTACATTTGAGCGACCACGTCAGGCGATGCAATGACAACATCGAAGGGGCAACTCAAGCAGGTTGCAAGTTTCAAGACAATTCGTTTGCACAACCGGGCGTCAACGGGCGAAGCAACTACGCTACAACAGCGTTAGAAACATCAGCTTACTTTTTGCCGTTTTCATTGCCAGCAATTCTGTGGGTTTAGACGCCTTGATCTAGGAAGAGATAGAAAGGCGAAAAACGCAGAAAAAAGACTGCAGTAGCCAAGGTCGCTGCTGCCACAGCGGCGGGCGGCAAGTCTCATGGAGGCAAAGGCAAACACAAGAGCAAGAAAGGCAATGATAAGCCGTGTGAACATTGCCAAAAGCCCGGACACACAGCTCAAAGGGGCAAAAAGTTCCGCTTACAGACCGGACTTCGCGGCGAAGATCAATGGCAACAGTGCCTTCGTCCAATGGTGGGCCATCTGCGCCGCCTGGATTGGGAGCTGCGTCCATTGGGGCTCTTGGGCCTGCAGCACCAAGGCATTCTCGGAGTTTCTCGCCCAACGTTTCGGTTATTCTGCGTGGCTTGCCGATATCGTTCGGAACGCACTTCAACAGTTTGCGGGTGCAGCATGGGCCCTGGATTCCGGAGCCAGTCAGTTTTGCATCATGGGGCATGGGCGACAATGCCGATGATGCCATGTGGGAGAGCGTGCAAAGTGCAGACTGTGACATCGACACAGGGGCTGGGACGGCTCAGCCAACAGTCATGGTAGATGCCATGGCTCCGCATCTCGGGCGTTGCTCGGCTGTAGTGATGCCGGAGTCAGAATCAACATGGCATCGATGGGCGAAACTTGCGCCGAGATGGGGTATCATTGTTACTGGCCTGCGTGGTCGGAACAGCCACATTTCTGGCGGGATGGTAGTTCCAACGAGGTGCCTTTCGGTTTCCCTGGCGTTGGCAACACAGTCGCTGGCCCACTATCCGAAGGACCCCGCTTGCGAAGTGTGCTTGCAAGCGAAGATGTGCCGAGCGCCGGCGTCTTGCAAGAAACAATCTGTCAAAAATGACAAGCACTCAGCCCGGGCATGGCGAACGCATTCACTGTGATCTCGTCCGCCCCACGCACCCCAGCATCAATGAGTATGCCATGATTCCAAGGCGAGTTTGCCGTAAAGCTCAAAGAACAGAAAGTTAGACATGAACGCTCTTTGCCGCGTCGACCGCAAACCATTTCCCATGCTGAGCATTCCACCGCGCAGTTGCAGAGGGCATGGCTTGCTCATCGTTGCGGCCGTGGTGTACTTTGTGGATTGTGCTAGGCGGCGGTCGTCGTAGGCGCGTGGTATTTGGCCGCGCCGGCTCAGAAGCGCTGGCCCGTGCTGAGCAGGCCGCAGCGGAAGCTGACCCTCGAACAACGATGCTGAGCGTAGATGGCGTGGGCGAGTACGACCACATCTCCCGTGCCAGTATGTTGCGGGCTCTGAGCTCTCACGCCCCGCTGGCTGGCCTGAGCCGCTACATCTACTATGATGGGCGGAGGGGGGGACACGAGTTGCTGCAGGGAGAGGGAGGGGAACAAGGCGATCCGCTGATGCCGGGGTTAAACGCGCTCGGCCAACATGCTGCCCTTCTCTACATTCACTCCCGGTTGCAGCAGGACGAGCGCCTCTATGCCTTCCTGGATGACATGTACGTCAGGTCCACGCCGCAAAGGATGCTTCTCGCTCTGCGGTCTGCCCAACATGCGCTGTCCCAGCACGCCAACGTCCAGGTCCATCTCGGTAAGACCAGGGCATGGAACGCCGCTGGCGAGGCTTGGAGTCGTGAGTACGTCGCACGCTTTCTGGATGACAAGCGAGGCCAGCACGACATCCTTCTCGCGCGGCTGCCGTACGTACAGGACTTCCAGGAGTGCGTGGCTGTTTCTCTTGCTCTGTGCCAAGTGCGAATTGGAATGGCGCGCACGCCCTGCTGCGCCGGCGTGCGTGCCACGAGACGGCGAAACACATCCCCGGTCAGAAGCCAGCGCCCGGACTCCGCCCGTTGGCTTGGTCAGTGCGACCATCCGGCCGATCCTCAGCGCACTTGCGATTTTTCCCGGCACGTCAGCTACTGCGAGTCTGCCAGCTTCGCGCCGCGGCGAGAAGCTCGTGAAAAGGGTGCGAGGGAACGAAAAAAACTGCACCCACACCGCGGCGCTGCTGCCACGCAGGTGGGGCGGTGCGGACCGTGCTCGGGCGGGAGACGAGTCGGACGAACTGGACTCCGCACTCCATGTCGAGTCGAGTCGAAACCTGATCGCCCGCAGGTGAAACGTTCTACAGGTTTTTTTTGTGCAGAGTCTTGCCTCATCACAAATTTGCAAAACTTTTGCAAATATCATCGCGTGGCACGCGACATTGACAATGCTAGGCGCGCAAGAGCTACGGACATGCGAGCAAAATGAGGAAGGCCACACCGACAGTGTGGCGCTGGTGGCGCCACGGGTGACCGCATCTAGAGACGAGACGAGGGTGGTGTCGACGGTGAGCTGGACCCCGCGAGGGGAGGGCCGTTCGTGATAACCTCCATACGCCGGTCGTCGTGCCGCCGGAAAATGACCCCGTCCGTGGGGAAGCCCAGCACGTGGGCAGGCTGCCCGGTGATCGCCCAACGCGTCGAGATCAGTTCCACGCGGCTGCCTTGCATGAGAGGCAAGGGAAAGCGGAACGCGGTAGGCAGCCGAGTCAAGAAAGCAGATTCGGGCACGTGGGGAGGGCGGCGTAGACACGACCTGCTTCGCTGCGAGGTCGGCTGGTTCGTGGAGTGCGGGATCAGCTTCAGGCAGGCGGCCCGGCCAGGTGAGGACGACGGCGGCAACCTGAAGTGCTGCGAGGCAGCGGCGGTTGCTGCAGGACCTGCGAGGTATTGCAAAATGTCGTCGCCAAGAGCACCCTGCATTTCCCACACCGACATGGCTGGACGGAAGCTTATCCGGGTATCTGGGCAGGAATGAAAGGAGGCTACGATGAAGGAAGGGCCCGAAGATCTCGCTTGAGCAGATCCCTAACTTCAATTCACCGTGCACCGAGAGGCCGAAGCAAGAAATGCCGAAGTCCAGGCAAAGGCCGAGCTTGAGTTGGCTGCCAAGCCAACAGCAAGGGCAAGGCCAAGGCCACGGTGCAACTATTTGCTGCGCACTGTGCGCGATCCTGCGGTGTTGTCTGGGGGATGCACCGTTGGATCTCCCATACAGCCACGCTGCGAGTGCCCGCACGCTGTTGTTGACCGAGGGCTGGGACGCGTGCCCCAGCTGGACCGCAGTTGCCGGGGGCCGGCGGCCGGACGTACAGGACTTGGCGAATGGCCACACGGCTGGCAGCTTCATGCGTCGCGCACTCGCAACCCTTACTACCGCGACCGCGTGATGCTGCCGTCGTTGATACCGGACCGCCGAGCCCTGCTTCGCTCCCAGTCAGGCCCGCACGCTGGCGCGTGGCGGACGGCCATACCAGGCGAGCCGGCCACGACGTTGTCCCCGCCCGTCATGCAGGTGGCCCTGCCCATCACAACTCGCCAATGCGGCTTGCCCGGATGCGGCGGAAGCGTGGACGCGTATGGCGACCACGCCTAGGCGTTCTTGGCGTGCCCTCGCACGGGGCTTTAGCGCGGCGGGCCAAGGTGGTGGAGAGGGCGTGGGTGCGGGTAGCGCGGACCGTCGGAGACTGCTGACGTATAGAAAGGCTTGTGTCTGAAGAAAAAAAAATTGCCACTGCAGGGCGCGACTATCTACGTGCCGCTCTTGCTGGATGCAGCCGGCATCTTGGCCCTGCCCGCACAACAGCGATGGCGTCAGCATCCTGTTGTTGCGCCTTGGTGGGGGGCTACTGTTGACGCACTGCTGTCGCGGCCCTTCCTGCCTGTGCACCAGTGCTGGCAGCCCTGCATGAGGAGTTCCTGCGCGGGGCCGACGTGTGCGCCAGCCACTGCTGTGGCACCACGTGGCCTTCCGCTCCGACCGCCTCACGGCCATCCAGGCCCGCTCGACGAGTTTCGCCCTCCTAGCCAGCAGCCCAGTGCGGGTGCAAGCTAGAGCGTGGTCGCCCCATGCGTCGAGCCTTCTGCCACATCCGTGCCCCGACTGACCGCGTTCGCTCGGTCCCACTGGCAATGGCAGGCGGAGCCTTCGCCGCAGAGCTAGCAGCATCACGTCTGGCGGGAGCGCCTTTGCGATTTTTCCTGTGTGTAGCCTGGCGGCAGCTGAGTCGGAGGAGCGCAAGCGTCTGGCCACTGTCTGGTTGGGTTTTGCAGACGTTGTGCAGAAAGACAGCAAACTGTTCATTGATCTGGGGCCCTGTCGGAACCTGGCCGGCTTGTCGTCCAAGCCTGTCACAGATGCTGGACTTCCTGGCCAGCCTTGCAGAGGGCGCAATTACAGACCGCGGGCGCCGCCGTCGCAAGACAGCGCTTGGCGTACTTTCAGCGTTAACTTTTTGCACTTTGCACGTTGGCCGTTCGAGTCACGAAGACTACAGTCCTTTCAGGACAAGGGACAACGGTGGGTGTTACGAGCTAATTAATGTGCGAGGCCGTGTCAAACTGCATAAAATTATGTCTTGTTGACGGCCATCTTGGCAGATGAGCTACATCAGACCACGAACTACATCCAGGGAACTGCGACATTACAAACTTGTTCAGCGTTAACGTTTGCAGCTTACAAGTTTTTTTTTTTTTTCGCGCGCCTTTTTCCGTCAGCCAGGAAGCGTCCAGTCTACCCTTCCCGCTCCTACATGCTCCTACGCGGCGCGCAGCGGCAGCAGAGAGGGCAGCGCCGGTTCGGCAAGCTCGACGACTTCGCTGAGCGTCGGCTGCCCATCGCCGCCCGGCTGCGCTGGTGCGCGCCAGATGCCGCCCAGCAGCGTGGACGCTAGCGCGCGCTGCTGCGCGCAGCTCAGGAACCCCCACCAGCGGCGCTGCCAGCCTGCTGTAGCAGCTGCGCGCAGCACGGGGGGAGCTCGCAGGGACCGCACGCGAACGAGGCGACGCAGGAGATCGTGGGCCTCGCTGCCCCAACGCCCGCCAGCACCACGAGCCTTTGCGGTCCGGGCCGAGCAAGCTCAGGGTACCGTGCGAGTTTCCAGCGCCGCGCGACTTCGATTGCCGCGCCGTCACGATCGCGACTTCCCGGCTGTGGCATCCCGTCCGCGCGCAGGGGTGACACGAGCGTGACATCGCAGCACAGCGCCTCGCCGCGCCTGGTGGCGCCGTACAAAACGAAGTCGAGGCGGCGCCGATCGTCGGCCGGGATCCCAGGCGCGGTGGTGTGCAGAAGCCACTGTTGAGGCACAACGCGGCCTTCAGCGCCAACCGCCTCGCGAGCGACCGCACCCACGCGCGCTCGAGGAGTGGGGCTCGTCGCGCCAGCAGGCCACTGCGGGCGCATGCAGCACGGTGATCCCCGAGCTCATCGACGCGGGCGCCACAACCGGCTTCGCCACCGCCACCACACCGAGCTGCTGCCAAGGGGAGGGGGAGGCGCAAGCGTCGGCGCAGAGCGATGAGCATTTCGGGCGGCGCGAGCGTACTGGCTGCGTCTGCGGGGATGGCACGGAGCCATTCGCCAGCGTGGGCACCTGACTGTGAGCGCAGCAGCGCACGGGAATCGGCACGGAGGCTGAGGAGGAGGCGCTCGCGGTAGGACGTGTTGAGTGCGCGAGCTGCCGGTCTCTGCCAGCCACGAATCCAATCCCCGGTCTCTGCCGGCTCGTCGGGCGCGGGCGCTGGGGGCGCTACGCCTTCCAGGAGGGTGGGCCAGTCCGGGCGCGTGGTCCAACCCTCTGCATCCAGGACAGCGCCTGCGGCTGCCGCGGCCCTCAATGAAGGCGCTGCTGCCGCGTCGGCAGCCGCCAGCTCACGCGCGCACCGCGCCGCAGCATCCGGCCTGCGCTGGTGCATGACTGGGAGCGCATCAGCCCACGCTGCCCAGTATGCAGCCGCGCGCACCCGCTCGGCGCTGCATAGCCCCAAACCGCCCAACAAGGTGGGCAGGAAAGCCAGTGAGCGGGCTGCTTCCCAAACCTCACCTTCCGCGTCGGGCTCAGAAAGGAGATGCTGAGCGCAGCGTCCGCCATATGGCGCTATCATGCGCGGCCGCGTACTCGCCGGACTCGGACGGCGGCACAGTGCGTACTGCATGCTGTGCCCGCGGGCTCGCGGGCTCGCGCAATACAGCAAGAGGAGCCATGCGCATTGCAGATCTGGCAACTGCCTAAGCTCCTGTAGCAGGCTTTGCTCGGCTTGCAGGCGCTCCTCCAAGCGGCGACGGACGAAGTCGGCGCTGCCGATGGGGACGCCGAGCGCAACGAAGCCGCGGTCTGCCGCGTCCGCCGCGCCGCACCACACGTCCGGCCCGAGTTCGGCTATGCCAGGTGGGGGAGGGCCTTCGGCCACGCGGTACACGCGCGTTTTGCCAAGGTTGGCCGCTACTCCGGCGCGCGCCTCGACAATTGCAGTGGTGTCGTCGAGGGCGGCTCGGGCGCGAAGCGAGGTCGTGACCAGGTACAGGTCGTCCAGAAATGCTGCTAAGAACTCCCCCGCCTGGAGGCGACCTTGCGCCTCGTGCAGTGCATCATGCTGTGCCAAAGCAAACAACGCCGGCGCCAACGCGTCGCCTTGCTCGCAGCCTTCCCCTTGTGGCACGTCGTGCCGCTGCCCGTCGGCATCCCACCACAGATAGGTGGAGACGGCGCCGTACCAGGCGCGCACATAAGGCACCAGGGAAGGGGCAACCTCCCGGAGTTTGGATAGGAATGCCGTGCGGGAGACGGTGTCGTAGGCGCATCGGCCATCCAACGAAACGACTGTGGCATCAGCATCCAGCTCCGTCGCGGCTCGCAGCATGGCTGCCAAGCAGTCTGTGCCGGCACGCGCTTGCAGCGCGAACTGGTATGGGCGAGTTGCCCGGTCAAACACTGGCGCGAACTGCCGGGCTAGCGTTCGAGAGACAAGGCGGCGCAACGTGTCTCCGGTAGCGATTCCGCGCACTCCGCCCGCAGGTTTGGAAAGCGCTGTCAGGCGCGAAAGTGCCAAGGCACGGAGCACCGACTCCGGCACGTCAGCATTTGCAAGCTGCGTGGCCGCCTGCGCTAGCATGTCGAGCGTCGCCATCCTCCAACAGTAGGCGGTAGTGCTCGATGGCGGCGCCGGACAAGCCCGCTGCGGTCCCCCGTTTGGCCGTTCGCAAGGCTTCCCCAAGTGCTGCCGGTGTGAGGCGCACCTGTTCGGCCGGCCGAAACGATGCCAGGTCTTGCGGCAATGGTTGGCGTGGTTCCGGCGGCCGCCTCGAGGGGTCGGTGAGTTGGCGCAGCGTCTCCGCGTTGCCCGGCGCGAGGGGAGCGCTCGTCAAGGTTTGTCTGGCCCGCGACAGCTGACCACGACGCACCTGGGCGCAAGCGCGCTCACGGGTGCGCTCGGGCTGCGCGGCGGTGGTGTGCGGCGGTTGCGTGTTGGCGTGGCGCGCAGCGCGCAACAAAGAAGGCCAGCGACCGGCCTCGAAGTCAGTGATTCGCTGGAGAAGCACGGCTTTGCCAGTGGCACCACTTTGATCCGGGCGCGCCAACAGCAAACGGGGCACCAACAAAAACAACTTCCAAGCCCTTTCCGACGTGATGCCTGCCTGCGGGGCCGGGCGGAGAAGGGCTCGCAGCGCAAAGGTGAAGGCGCGGCGCACGCCAGGTGCCTGGAAGCGGGGGACATCGCGTAGCGGCTGGAATGGAATCGCGAATTCTTCGTGTAGGATAACGCTGTCAAGCCATTCCCACGAAGCCCTGCCGACTCGCGTGTTTGAGGGCGCCGGTGCCTCTCCCGACCCCGGGCCTGCTGCATCGATGTCGGAGTTGGCCTCCTGCAGCATCCCATGTTCGTCGCCAGCGATTCCAGAATTGGCTGCCTGGTCAGCCCTTTCCTGTTCCACCGCTGCCTCGTTGGTTGAGGAGGCTGGGCCGTCACCGCCAGCAGGCGAGGCCAGTTCGGCGGCTCGCCTTGGCTGTGGCCCCCTTGCGTTTGGACCTGTGTCGGGAGCAGCGGGCTCGAGCGCTACTGGTGGAAGCTGACCCCCCGTTCCTGAGCGAAAGCGCTCTGAGTGGCGATCCAACGCGGACGCGAGCTGCAGTCCACCGAAACACTCGAGCAAAGCTTCCTGAACCGGTGCAAGCAGATAACCGTCTGACTCGCGAAGTTGTCGGACGGCCCATCCAACATGGACCCGAGCGCCGCCCGGCAAGCATGCGCGTTCAAGCCGCGCAAGGAGATCAGGGAAATGGTGCGCATGCGCCGGCGCAGCTTCAGCCGCACGTCGCAACGTGGCAGCCAAGTCTTGCGGCGCAACGGGCTCAGAGGCCATTAGCAACTGTCGCGCTTCGTCCCACCAGCCCCGTGCGCGGGGGTCCGCGCGCCAGGCCTCCAATGTCGGGAGTGCCAGATCGGTAGCTGCAGCGTGCAAGAGCGGGACGTAAAGCCAGGAGTTGGTGGCATCGCTGACGCCGCCGGCAGGCGGGCCACACGCGAACCAAAAAGCAGCGGGGACGGCCGTGCGCGGGGCGCCCGCCGCACGTGGGTCTACGTCTACGTGTGGCGGGGCCAATGCACGTTGCATGCCCACCGCTGCGGCATCTGCGGCCGCGGCCTGCGCAGCCTCGGCGGGCGCTGCTGGCACGGCGGCCGCTGCACCTGGGATAGGCGACGTAGGCAGAGCTGGGGCAGGGGCGCTGGGAGCTGCCATGGTCAGCTGGCGCTCGCCGCCTGAGCAGCCCCTGCTGCACTCTGTGCGGCCGGAATGCGTGCGGCGATCGAAGACCCAGCGAACAGTGCGGTTGCATTCGCGGCACTCGTCGCCGACCCCGCTCGGGACCTCGAGATCCGCGAGCTCGAAAGATTCCGCGCAACGAGGGCAGATCCAACTGGGCTGCCATGCCGCGATGCCGGCATCATGCCGTATGGGGATGGGGGCCCAGCGCATGGCTCGAGTCGGCAGGTCGACGAACTGCAGCAAGCCACTCCGGTCAGGTACAGGCGCAACGTGGTGGCAGCAAAGCAACTCGACGCCTGGCGGTGGCCGCGGTTCCGGCGCGTCCTGGCGAGTGAAGGTGCGCAGCGCATAGTCTACGACTGCAGCACGAACCGTGGACTCGCCTGAAAGGCGCTGGGGATGCGCCACGCCCGCGGCGGCACACCGAGCTTGCAGCCAAGCATCGTTGTCCGGCGTCCACCCCACCGCGGCGCAAACGGGGCACCGTACATCGCGTGGCCCATCAGCCTGTGCCCGCAGCTGCGCCAGGCATTGCAGGTGAAGGGAATGGCGGGAGCACGCCGGGTGAACCACAGGTTCTTGGCCCCCGCGTGCTGCCAAGTGGATGGTCTCCAAACAGATGCCGCATACCTCAGGCGACGCGAGCGGGGTAGCGGCTCCGTCCGCCAAGGGCTCCGGCGCTGTGGCGCGGCCCTGCTGTCGCGGGCGGTTTGTCGGGGAGCCGGCAGCCTCGGCGGGCGCTCGGCACTCCATTTCCGAGGTCGGGGCAGACGGTCTGCAGCCATGGCGCGGATGCGCAGGTGAATGAGGTGGCGTGTCGTCCCCAACAACGACGACGGAGCCTGCGCCGTTGTGCGCCCTTGCGCCGGCTGCCATCAAAGGCGCTCGGCGATCCGGCGTGCTCGACCGGGACAAGGGCGACATGGGCTCGTCTGGCGCAGCGGTCGAGTCGAACGGCCTGGTTGCGATGCTTCCGGCATTCACCGGCGCGGTTCGTGTGCCGGGCGGGGCTGCCGTAGAGGCGCGCGACCGCCTGGGCGTGTCGGATCTGCGCATGCCGGAGCCAGCGGCGGCCTTCGCAGGCGCCGCGGCTCCCCGCAACACGCAGCGTCACGGACGGTTCCTTTATCCAGGGCGCTTGGGTGGTACAGAGCACTCCATGGCACCAGCAAAAAAAGCTACCCCGACCCTCCAGCTGCGCAGGACGCGCCCAGGAGCAGTTGCGGCCCTCCAGCTGCAACGCAGTGCCCAGGAGCGGCCGGCAAGAAACTTGAGCCAAAATGGCTTGAGCCAAAATGGCTACGGTTCCAAGTGGAGCAGCTTCAGAGTGTGCTTGAGAGCCCCTTAGTGGCAGCGTGGCAGAATTCCTCCGTGGACGCGGCAGCGGGCAAAGGAGGCGCTGCCGCTTCCTTTGGTTGTTCTGTTTCGTTTTGAGCAGGCGTTGGTCAACGGCGCCGGTGAGGACTGCCTCCTTTTATCCGTACTGTTGGTAAAGGCCTGGGCGAGCTTACGCTGGTCCGACGTGCATCTTTTGGACTTGGCTTCTGTTGTGCTGGGTAGCGATCATCTAGCTGGATGGTGTTGGAGGACTAAGTCAAGCAAGCGAGGGATGCCTTGGGGCTGCCTCTCCTGTGGCCTCTTGAATAGGGGTTGGGCCTCGGTCTTCTTCCGGGGGTCTGCACCTTGCGAGATGCGTGCCCGCAGAATGAATGCGTGCTAGACTACAAGGGAAAACCGCTTGGCTACTCTGGCATGCTGGCGCAGTTCCGGTGCTGTCTCGTGGTGTATGCTGGCCTGTCACCCAGCTTGGCAAGTCGGTTCACCTTGCACTCGCTAAAGACAACGCTTCTGGCCTGGTCATCACAGGTGGAAGTACCGCAAGTGCTCCGGGAGGCACAGGGGCATCACAGACCAGCAGCCGTCTCTGCTTGCGTGAAGCGTTATTCCCGTGATGACATCAATCCTCAACTCAGCTGCCAGCGCAAAGTGGTTGCCAAACTGCGTGATGGTTGGCGCCCCTATGTGCCTGTGGACAGAGGCCTGGGCCGTGTGGATGCCGCTGTGTTTGAGGCGCACGTGCCCGCGCTTCCGCAGGTGGAAGGGGATGCAAAGCCTGGCGAGATATCTTTCCGACACTGAGGCGTCCGTGGATGCCGAATGCCGAAGTTGCTGCCGGCCCCGCAAGTGATTCCGAGCACGGGGAGCTCGAGCGCGACTCTGAAGCTAGCGTAGCCAGCGTGGCCCCTACACTGACACTCGCAGATCTGGATGAACTGGAAGGTAGCTGGCTTCTGAATACAGTTTCCGGCTGCGCTCATAAGTCCGTGTGGTGCAGCGAGCTTGAGACATGGGTCCTGGCGTGTCGGCCAAGTCTACAGCTCGAAAAGCAATATGAGCACTGGACATGCAACCCCTGCTTTCATGGTTTCAGGTCATGCGGCCATTCGGGCTGTTGGAGCTCTGGCTGAGGCAGCTCAAGCGCTTCTTTTTGATATAAAAAAAAAGAGTGCCTTGCCCTTTGGGGGCCTGTCACTTCGCAGGGGCTTTGGGCCTTTCTGCTGCGCTTGTCAAACAATGGTTTGTATTGTTGCGCACAGCCCTTTTGGGGTCTGTCATGTCGCAGGAGTGTCGCAGGGGCTTTCTGCGTTGTTTCATTGCTTGCTTTGCGTTCTTTGTCATGCCTGCGAGCACTGCAGCCTCGTGGCGTACCACAACATGGTGCAAGCCGGGGTGCAGGAGCCTATTGCTGACACGATTATCCGGTATCCGGCCTCCGGCTTGGCTATGACGAGGAAGGCTTGTTCCGCGCTGCTTTTGTTGATCAGCAAGCCTTTGAGGGTTGGCTAAAGAAGCTGCGTCACAAACTTGGCGACGCAGATCTGACAGCACGCATGCGCCGTGTGCGGGGACAAATCGCACCATGCCGCAGAGTGCCCGCAGCAGCAGTCGCGTTGAGCCACTGCGCTGGCTGGTTTGGCCGGCCCCGCCCCAAGCAAGGGTTCGGGGGAGCGCGCGCCTAGGGCTCCAGTTGCTGGGGAGTTGTGTGAGCCAGAGGATTTCTGCGATGTGGAGCTGCGTCTTCCTGCGCATGGAGCTGGCAATGGTCGGCAGCGCCTCAGGGATGGTGGCGGTGTTGGTTCTACTGCAGATTGGCGATGCCCCAAAGCAGCGGATATGTTGAAGAAGTTGCGTGTTCAGTGGATATCTCGCTTCGAGCAGTGGGACTTGCTTCATCGTGTGCAGCGCGCCGTGTCCTGTCAGTCGAGTGAGGCTTGGTTGAGTGACGGAGAGATTGAACGTCTTCGCGAAGACCTGTTATCTGTCCTGAAAGATCATGGCTTCAGCTCGTCAACTAGGATTGTGGCGGGGCAGCCCTTGGCCCTGGATCTATGGCGAGATCTGTTTGCGCTTACAGATGATTGTTGATTCAGCCCTCGTCCCTCTCTTGCAGGATGGCGTGCCGACAGGGAGACAAAGCACAATTCCTCCCTCAGGCGCCCTCAGGTGTCTGGCGCGAGGTCGACGTTCCAGCACATCCCAACCTCGAATTGTTAGTTCTTGATGCACCGTCGGGATTTGCGTTGGACGACCCGGAGACACTCATGGACTTGGTGCAGCGGGACGTAGATTGTGGCTTTGCTGAGTGGATCCATGGCGGTGTCGACGAGGTGCGAAAACAGTTCGGCCGACAGTGTGCGGCTGGCCGTCTGGGTTTAGTGAAGAAGGATGGGGCAGACCCCCGCCTTGTAGGGGACAGTACAATCTCTAACGCGAACCGCTTGTGCAGCATCTCAGAGAAGATCGAACTGCCGGGCTTGGGAGAGGCACACTAGGTGGCTGGTGTATCGCACCTGCCACTTTGGTGGAGAATGGAGCGCCTGCTGGTGGTCCAAGGTTGCTGCAGGCTATTTGCTTCTACGTCGCGCTCGTGTTCTGGCCATGTATGCTGATGACGAACTCTCATCTCAGCGACAACATTGAGGTCACGCACACGAACATTGGTTGCGACTGTGGCCCCAGCTTCACGACAAACACGAGCTGCTGCACGCTCGAGCGGGCCCGCACGGGCACGGAGGACGCCAGAGCGGGGGCACGCCGCAATGTGGTCACCCAGGGCATCATGAGCAACCCGACAGCGGCACTGCGCGCCTGTGAGTGGGAGTGGCAGCCTCAGGCGACGGAGAATAAACACCCGGAAGAGGGGGGAGTGGAGCGTCAACTCCGGGGATGTGGGGCGCGCTGTGAGTACCCTGGCAGCAAATGGGCCGGCCTGTGACTCCAGCAAGGCGATGGAGGTTCCTCCCGAGGATGCTCTTATTTCGGCCCGGCCAGTGCCCCAAAATCCCGAAGGCGCAGTTGCTTGATCGCTTCACTTCCTTCTTTCGGGGGGAGTGGGCCCCACTTCTGCGCGACGCCCAGCGCCTGGCTTCGGTATCCGCGTCCCGGGACCCGCATGCAGACCCCACGCCACAACAACGTGCTGACCGCGCGGTGCAGCTCGCACATCTCGGGGAGCTCTCCGCTGCGCGACAGGCGCTTACGGCCGAGCCCTTGGCGCCCGCCCCCGACGCCGCCCTCCAGCACCTTATCGACCCCGCCCGGCGGCCACCTGAACCTTACCAGCCCTTGCCGCCGGATCTACTGCAGTTCCAGCCGGAGTCCCCTGCAGTGCTGGATCGTTCGGCCCTGTTGGCCAACCTTCGGCGTGCGCGCAAGGCAGCTGCACCAGGCCCCAGTGGTTACACTGCTGAAATGTTGCGTGTTCTCCTTGATGACGCTGAGTGCTCGGCCTGTTTTGCTGATGTTTGCTCGTTGCTCGCTAGCGCGCATCTCCCCGAGCCCGCTGCAGCGGCTGTCGCGCTCGGCCGCTTGGTTGCCATCCGCAAGCCCTCTGGGGGCACCCGCGGACTCGTCATCGGCGACCTCTTGCGGCGGCTGGTTGCTCGCACGCTTGCCCAACAGTTCTCCGAGCCGATTGCTCTCGCGTGCAGCCCCCACCAATATGCGCTATCCACCCGGGCAGGAGCTGAGGCGCTCATCCACTCTCTCCAGGCCCGCACTGAGGCCGATCCTCAACTCACTGTGGTGTCAGTCGATGTGAGTGCTGCATATGATACGGTCAGTCGCCAGTCCATGCTTGAGGCGCTCAGAGACACCCCGAGTCTGTCCCCTCTCTTCCCCTTCGCTCGGCTCTGGTACGCGCGCGAGTCTGCCTATGTTTGGACAGCTGGCCCCCAGTCCCACCGAATTGCCCAGGCCGAAGGTGGGGAACAAGGCGACCCTCTGATGCCAGCCATGTTCTCCCTAGGCTTCGGCCCCGCGCTCAGAGACCTGCAGGCTGATCTCGGACCCGGGGAGCACGCCCTCGCGTACCTTGACGATGCATACATCCTCGCATCGCCGGCCAGAGCGATCGAGCTGTACCACCGCCTTGAGCACTATGCCTTCGCCAGGGCACACCTTCGCCTGAACCCCTCCAAAACCCGGCTGTGGAATGCTGCAGGGGTTGCCCCTGCCGGTGTGCTTGAGCTCGCCCCGGGCGGCGAAGTCTGGGTAGGCAACCCTGCGCTCCCCGCAGCCCAGCGCGGTATTGTCGCCCTTGGCGCCCCCATCGGTACTCCCGAGTTTGTTGCGGCTCACCTTTGTGCACTCCTGGCGCGCCACGAGGGCTTCCTCAACGCCTTGCCGGGCCTCCAAGACACACAGGTCGCATGGCTCCTGCTCTCTCACTGCGCCGCTCCCCGAGCGCAGTATGTTTTGCGCACACTTCCCCCGCCGCTCACACGCGCCTTCGCCGCAAGACATGACGCCATGGTGAGCTCTTGCTTGGACACCATCCTGTCGGCGGACGCTGCAGTCGGGCTGCCTGACCTGGCCGTCGCCCGCGCGCAGCTACCTTTGCGGCATGGCGGGCTTGGACTGCGCAGCGCTGCGCGTCACGCACCCGCCGCCTACTGGGCATCTTGGGCTGATGCGATCCGTCCCGTCCTTCACCGGGACCGCGATTTCGCTACCACTCTTGTTGCGGCTCTGCAATCTGGTGAGTCAGTGCCTGCTTCCCTGGAGTCGCTCCGCGACGCTCGTGCCTCCCTCGCCGCAGTTGGTTACGAGCCACCGGCCCGGCCCCAGCTCCTGGATGCTGACCCTCCCGCCTCCGCAGAGGACGAACCTCAGCTCGACCTTACTCGTGGATGGCAGCGCCTGGCGGCCCGGGCCGTGGATGACTTCTGCCACCGCGCACTCCTGTGTGAGCTCGACCCGTCCTCCATCGCCTTGCTGGAGTCACAGGCCGGCCCATTTGCTGCCAGGGTACTCACAGCGCGCCCCACATCGGAGTTGACTGAGGCTGCCACTCCCACTCACAGGCGCGCAGTGCCGCTGTCGGGTTGCTCATGATGCCCTGGGTGACCACATTGCGGCGTGCCCCCGCTCTGGCGTCCTCCGTGCCCGTGCGGGCCCGCTCGAGCGTGCAGCAGCTCGTGTTTGTCGTGAAGCTGGGGCCACAGTCGCAACCAATGTTCGTGTGCGTGACCTCAGTGTTGTCGCTGAGCGCCAAGATGAGCGTCGCATTGAGGTCATCGCCAACGGACTCCCGCTCTGGGGGGGTGTTCAGTTGGCTGTTGACACCACTCTGGTCTCTCCACTGACGGCTGCCGGTGCCCCCCGTCGCGCGCGCGGCTGCACCACTGGTGCCGCGTTGCGCTTGGCCCGCCAGGCCAAGGAGCGGACGTACCCGGAGCTCTGCCGATCGGCCCGCTCCCGCCTGACCGTGCTCGCTCTCGAGGTCGGAGGCCGCTGGAGTGCTGAGGCTGCGGGGTTCGTCCGCCAGCTCGCCCGCTGCAGGGCGCGGGCTCCGCCTGCAACCGCCAGGAGCGCAGCCACCTCCGCATACGCGCTCCGGTGGTCTGCCCTCATCTCGTTTGCAGCCACGCGCGCCTTTTGTGCCAGCCTCCTCTTTCCGAGCGGTCAAAACGGTCGCAGCTCCAAGGCTAAGTGAAAAGGAAAAACTACCAGGACACCGATCTACAGCAGAGACTACCTGCCTACAGAAAATGTCGCCCCGCCACCCGCAGGTAACGGAGCAAACTGCTGCATGCGAGTCAAGCTGGACCAGGTGTCAAGTGCCAAAGCGCGGATGCCGAGAGAGCCACGAATTCAACGGGCATGCAGGCAAGTCCCGGCATCCTCCTTCACAGCACTGAAGCAAACACTGATTCTCCAATCTCTGGTTAAAAGCGAATCCGAAGCTCAAGGACTGCAAGCTGCCAGTCAAGGCCCCATTGTCCTAGCTCTGGCTGAAGCAATGCCCGAAGCTCAAGGACTGCAAGCTGCCAGGCAAGGCCACATTCTCCAAGCGCTGCCTGAAATGATGTCCGAAGCTCAGGGACTGCAAGCTGCCAGGAAAGGCCACATTCTCCAAGCTCTGGTTAAAGCAATGCCCGAAGCTACTGCAAGCTGCCAGGAAAGGCCACATTCTCCAAGCTCTGGTTGAAGCAATGCCCGAAGCTCAAGGACTGCAAGCTGCCAGGCAAGGCCACATTCTCCAAGCGCTGCCTGAAATGATGTCCGAAACTCAAGGATTGCAAGCTGCCAGGAAAAGCCACATTCTCCAAGCTCTGGTTGAAGCAATGCCCGAAGCTCAAGGACTGCAAGCTGCCAGGCAAGGCCACATTCTCCAAGCGCTGCCTGAAATGATGTCCGAAACTCAAGGATTGCAAGCTGCCAGGAAAGGCCACATTCTCCAAGCTCTGGTTGAAGCAATGCCCGAAGCTCAAGGACTGCAAGCTGCCAGGCAAGGCCACATTCTCCCAGCGCTGCCTGAAATGATGTCCGAAACTCAAGGATTGCAAGCTGCCAGGAATGGCCACATTCTCCAAGCTTGGTTGAAGCAATGCCCGAAGCTCAAGGAGTGCCAGCCTCCTCGCACTCCCTCTTGCGAACACTGGCAATGTCGATGGAGGCATCCCACTCCTCAGCGACGTCTTGGCAGACTGCTCGGCCCCTCCTCCCCTTGCCAGCCGCATGCCGTGACAGGGCCACCGCCCGCAGCACCTAGCTCCCTGCCCACCGCTACCTGGTGTGCTCACTGCGCCCTGTGCCACCCGTAGTAGGCTGAGTTCGACCGCTATGGACTTGGGAAAAAGGTGCGTTCAAAAAAAAAAAAAACTCTCATTGTTTCCAGCTGCCGCGGCCCCCGTAGTGGCAGGCCTACTCGTAGCCTTGGCGTGTGTCTTAGGAATACCGCTCTCCTGGAAAAACATGGCCCTTGGGCCTTGTGTGAAATGGGTTGGATGGCTGCTGAACCTCCAGGGCGCACCGCGGGCGAGGACAAGACAGTACGCATTGTGACTGGCCTGCTAGTTGTGGTACGAAGAGGCGATGTGTGTCGCCGGGACCTCCAATCTTTGGTGGGGTTGCTTTCTTGGTTCACTTGCGGAGCCCAGTGGCTCAAGCCATGGATGGCAGTATGGTTCCACATGCTTCTGAAACCTGCGTTGCGGTTCCAGCACCTTGACGAGAGTCAGCTTGCAGAAGTACAGCGTCTTCTTGACTCCAACCTGCGTTTATCCAAGCGTGCCCATTTGTCGGATGTGCAGCAAGGATGGCAAGTTGCTGAGTGTGGCAGCAAGTCCGCGTGTGCGCCGCGCGGTTTGAAGAAAGGGCGCGCTTGGGTGAAGTTTCTGGATGCTGAGTCTGCGAATGTGCGACCGCCTCGGCAAGAAGCGGAGGTGGCAGAGTTCTTCCTGCGTGCAGTGCGACTACGGTCTCCAGTTCACCTGGCAGCAAGTTTTGGGGGACGTGGGCCTGCAGCTGCGGATGCCTTTGCTTCCGGCAGCGTTGCCGGTATTGGTGGGTGATTCTTGCCAGAGGGCGCGCCGCTCGCAGTGTCTTCCATTATCTGGTTCTCCATCCCGCTGGATGCCCATTCTTTGCCCGGCTGGTTTGCTGGCGACGATACCGACCTTAAGACTACGATTTGCGCCCTGGAGGCTCTCGCGCAGCTGGTGTTATTAGTTACGCAGGTGCGTGAAGCCGCTTGCAGCCGCCGCCGACCCAACGTGGGATGTATTGCGCTGCGCCAGCAGTCAGATAACCTTGGGGTGGTCTGCTCGTCGGCAATTGATTACCAAGGTGGAACTGCATCCTGGCGTCACGCCGATGACTGGGACCGAAACGCATGACGGCACTCTTGCTGGCACCAGCAGCGAAATTGAAGCGCCATGATTTTGCCCATGCGTCAGCTGCATTCAACGCTCGCTGTAAATCATGAGGGCAACTAGTTAAGATTACGACGTCCGTCTGCAGTGCAATTTGTTTGCTCCATGGCAAGCATGTTTGATGGCCGCGGCCAAGCTGTTTATCAAAAGACTAAACAGGAAACCACTTAAGACCGCACCTTGACCAATACCATGTTCAAATTCCCAATTAAAAACGCGTGAGATACCTGCCGCTGACGATGTGATGATATGTGATGCCAGCATGCCGGTGCCGGTTGCAAACAAAGACGCCCAACCACACCTTCTTCATCACGAGTGGGATGCGTTGGAGCAGGCGATCGTGCTCCTCGTGCGTCTGCGCGAGCCGCAGACGCACGTACGCGTCGCTGCCGAAAGGGGTGCCAAGGACCGTGAGCCCTTGCTGCTGTGGCGGGAGCGCCCAGTCCCCCACCCAGATTGCGGTATCAGCGTCCCCCTGCAACACTGACAACCTAGGCGGCTCCTCGCCTGCCGTGTTCCAAACACGCGTCCTGCGACTGCTGAGTTCAACACGTGAAAGCGCCCACAAAGCACGTCTGTACGCCTCGTAGAGTTCGTGTATCCGGGGCGACAATATACGACATACGCTAAGATCGCCCCGCCATCCCGCAGCTGTTCCTGCACCCTGGAGCGCCGGGTGCTGTGCCAGCGAGTACAGCGCTGGCATCAGCGGCTCCCTGTTCGCCACCCTCGCCCTGCGCGATGGCGTGGGAGGTCCCCTGCCCATCAATCCACGTGTAGGAGCTGGCAGAGCCATAGAACTGGCGGGAGTATTGGAGCATGGCCTGCCGGACACGTGGTCGTAGGCACCAGTGGCGTCCACAGACAAGATGGTTGCACGTGGGTCGATTTCCGTGGCAGCCCGGCCGGTGCGAGGGTTGTGTCTGGAATGCTCAATGGACCGCCTCCTATGGACCCTTATGATTCGGGAGATTATGATAATGCGCAAGCATGCGCGTACGATTGCTGCCATGCGTGGCCTCATATTTGCATGTTGTGGTATGCTTGACACGGAAGAAAACCGGATTTTGTCGCTTGCTTGGCTTGAAGGATGAGGCTAATATAGTTCGGCCAGGGGCAGATGCACAAGCGTTGGCAACTCGTCCTCATCCCAAGTTTGCCTGTTGATGGCAAGTGTTGCTCCAGCCGCATGCCCAGTTCTGCACGATCTCATGTTTTGCTTGTTCCTGCTTTCACACTGTGCGTGATTAAGAGCTTTTGGGCCATTTGCTGGTGTTGCATAGGCAGAGGCTTTCCATTCCGAAACATCGGAGAAGAAGCATGAAGTGCCTGTTGGCACCGTCAGGCCGCAGCCTACAAATTGCACAGTGACACTGGCCAACTCATGTTGCATGCCAGGAGACGCTCCCTTGGCGGCCAAAGCCCTATGCAACCAGAGCATGACCATGCCCCTGTCACTGAGCAACTTCAGTCTACGCATGCAACCAAGGTGGCGTTGTTCTAGTCATTCCCGAGAAGCAGGCCCTGGCACGGCTTCATAGTTCAAATGTGGATTGCAATTTGGACTCGTGGACAGGGGCCCTTCAAGCGCAACATGGTTTTCTGGTCCGCCAGGTTGAGGCGCAATCTTGAGCAGAGTGAAAGCAACCATGCTTTGTTTTTCCCTTGCACATGGTGTGTTGTCAATTTTTAATCTCAGCTATTCTCATCGCTCAGGTTTCTTGTACTCTCAGTTGAACCTCCCACATTTGCAGACACCCCCCACAGAATCCCGCAGAATGTCCTGAGAGTGCCCCGAAAATCGCGCAGAGATCCCAGAAAATGGCGCAAAGAATTCTGCACAGTATCCTGCTTGCCATGGAGCACCCACCCCCCCGAGAATCCTGCACTGTAGAGAATCCCACAGTGTATCCCTGGGGTTTGGTCTCATGCAGAAAGCCTCAAGAGTCTCAAGAGACAAATCCCGCAGATATCCCAACATCGTATCCTACAGTAGCCTCAGGGAAAGGAGGTTTTGAAGTAATTTGCTTGTTTTACTGGCGGTGTTTCGAAGTTTTTTCCCGCCCCGTGCATTCTGTCTGTAGTGCAGCATGGTTTCCATTGCGACATGCATGCTGAGGCCGCTTTTAGAGAGCCTGGTCTTCCGAGTCACCCTGGTTGCCTGCCTCATCTTCGCGTTATTCGGAGGGGGCTTGTTCGTCGTGATAGATGTACCTGATGATCCGGGCATCTTGGTGCTGGACACGATGATGACGGCAGTCACAATCCTTTTCGTGGCGGAGATGGTTATTAACGGCATCGTCGACTACAAAACCTACCCGTTGTCGCTCAGTTGCAGTGCTGCACGTTGGAATGCTGCGGCATCGGCGGCTCGACCAATGCTCTTCTAATTTAATTGCAGCCGTGAAGTCAGGGTGATTCTCAGCCGGCAGGTCATTCTTCTTCTGGATGGATGCGTTGGGAACTGTCTCCATGATCTTTGAGATTTCCACACTGTTGGGAAACGGTGGCAAAATGCAAACGACAAACGGATCAGTGGATGCCATGCTCATGCGCACCGCCAGGGCTGCGAAGGCAAGGAGCCTTTTCTTGCATTGCTCTTCGCTGGTCCAGCTGGCTGCTGTTGCGTCAGGTGGGTGCCCGCGTTGGACGTTTGTCCAAGCTCATGAAATGCTTGAGCTATTATTTGCGGGACAAGGACAAGAATATGGACATGTCCATCTCTCAAGAAAAGTAGCCGCCACGAAGGTGCTTGCTACCACCATTTGCTAAAAGCAGACAGTTCCCAATGAGGTCCAGTAATCCTGCAGAAGCAAAGAAGCTGTCAACTCGTCTGATGATGACTCTCTCCACAAAGGCGAGGATGGTTTCACATGATTTCACGTTGTTTTGATTGTCCAAGTGTTGCAAAATGGCTGGCTGTTTAAGGTGTCCTTCTTGACCATTCTACTGGTGCTTGCGGTGCCGCTCTTCACAATCGGACAATTCCCAGAACAGGACGCCGCCTGGTGCTGCTTGCTGTGTTTCAGGGCAGGGAGAAGAACAAAGATGCCATCACATGCGGGCTCGGCCTGCGCATTGGCATGGTTTTCTCCATGGTGTTTGTTATGTGCGGGCACATGCTCAGTGGCTCAGTGCCTCGAAGATATGTAAACCTGGTGTAAATGTATCGGAATGTTTAGACAAATGGCTACTGCGGTCAGGGGATGTTCGAGATATGCAGAACCCAAGCAGCCTTCCAACCTGGTTCTTACATCGGCGTGATGTGCACTTCCAGGACTTGTCCATGCTACTTTGGGCGAAAAGACTGGAGACCGAATACAAGCTGCTGCCTTGAATTCACAAAGACTGGTCGCAGAGCTGCTTTGCTCCTGCATGTGCATGAGGCGGGCCTATGATGAGTTGGAAGGGCTCCCAGCAGGCAGCAATTCCACCATTTTCAAGGAGATCATAAGTGCAAGCAGTTGTTTGCGATTCCTGCGCAGCCCATCTATCCGAATCTATCCAGGACTCGGTGCTGGAGATGAAGAACTTCTACACCATGGTCAATTACTTTGTGTACGAAGTGCACGGCTTTGATGCGCAGGCTTTCCATAGTGGGGTAAGTTTAAGTGCATGAAGTGGACTGCCTGCCAAAATTTCTGGTTGCAGGTGAATGTATCAGGAAAGATCTCTTACATCCCTGGTGCCGAGCAGCTTAATGATCTGCCTGGAGTAGTCCAGATGTCCGACATATACCGTGTCTCCGTGCCTCGGATTCACACCCTACGCAAAGTCCACATTGAGCCCGCAAGAGCCATGCTGCCCTCAGGTGCCCGAGTGCCTTGTGGAGCGGGCTGACTGTCACATACTCAGACGATGGTGTGAGGGGATAGTGAGTGGTCTGAGTGGGACTGGATCGGTCACTGAAGGCACTCTTGTGCTCAACTCGAGGTCCAGGCAATGCACATATGGACTTCAACTTTCATAGCCCTCGACGAATTGAAGTGACGGAAGACATGGCGGCTGGCTCAGAATGGAACAGAAACGATAGAATTGAAGTGACTACGTGTATGGCATTCTGGGTGTTTTTGCATTGCGCTGAGGCCATGGCCTTCTTCATCATCTTGCTGATGATCGGAGTCTCGACAAACCTGAACCAGACGCTTCACAAGCTGGTCGTGCAACCCATGGCCGGGCTCTTGGGCTTTTGCTTTCCAAACGTTTGAAAGAAGGGGGTAGAAATATGCATGGTATCGCTTGCTCTGATGTTCTGCGATGTCGTCGGCCAGGAAAGCATGCTCTCTGTGGTCAAAGACAATGCAGCGCAGTTGTTGAAGCAGTTTGGCCTTGAAGACGACATGGAGAACGGGGGGGGGTTTTGAACATATGCTTTGGCAAGCGTGGCAACACAAGCATTGCAGAGCCTGCGTGATGGCACCTTGCAGATAGCTGCAGCGATAGCGTGGCACCAAACGCAGGAGCAAGGCGAAGAGGATGTGGAAGAGACAGAGTTGCTGGAGGTGTGCTCAGACTCTCAGACAGTTTTTTGCAGATGGAAAGTCTGCATTTCTGCCTTGTGCAGGGCATCTTTAAGAAGTTCGCACGCCTTGCAAGTCTTGCGGCCGGGCGCAATGAAGCCACGGCTGAAGAGCTGGCAGGCAAGCTGCTGTGTTCACAAGATCCATGACATTCGTGCAGCGTGCGGTGTCACGGAGCAGCACGGAGCAGCACGGAGCAGCACGGAGCAGCACGGAGCAGCACGGAGCAGCACGGAGCAGCACGGAGCAGCACGGAGCAGCACGGAGCAGCACGGAGCAGCACGGAGCAGCACGGAGCAGCACGGAGCAGCACGGAGCAGCACTGCGCCACACTTCTGGCTCCAGGCATGGATGAGTCGGCAAGAGGAGTTATGATGGACATGATGCGCGTCCAGGTCGGACTTGGCTCGACGGTTCCCAGATCACTTCTTGAACTTGTTCATGTAATGTCACATGCATCTCAGGATCTTGTGATTCCACTTTGCGCATTCAAGCTACCAAGCTTTGTTTGCAGGTGGCCCCACCAGTATCAACTGACGCGGCTAACTCAAGCTCGCTCCGCAACAGCGTGCGACTTACACAATGAGCCTTGCGGCACTCTTGCAGACATGCGCTAAGCACTTCAGAGCGTGTTCGGGAGTGATGGCCAGCGACCATATATCCTTGTTTGGCAAAGGTGCCAGAGAAAGTGCTACTACCGGGTCTGAAGGCTTGGTCTGTGTTACCTCTCCATATGGATGCCCTTTGTAGCACACCTTGTTACCTTGCCTCGCCGCTAGCAGGTATCGAGGGTGGTGACATGTCCGACAAACTGGATTTGCCAGACGTGCCGGTGGTGACTTCAATGCCTGTCCCAAGGCAGGATGGACCTCTAATCTCACAGCATGTCGCGAAGTGGGCAAAGTGAATGAAATGAAGTGAGTTCGTGCGCCTGAATTATTTACTTCTTATGGCACACTAAAAGAAACCATTCACAGGCTTTTTCACCCATCCTCACAGCACAAATGTTATCCTCACCCTCACCGTCTCACTCTCGAAACCTTAATCACATTGTTGTGACTGTCTCAACTCTGCGTTCACCTGTCATCTAATGCTTCGGATGTGCGCTCTTGACTTAGAAACCGTACCATCATGAGTCTTTCTACGTGATTGACAAGGAACCCAACATAGAAAAACTCTTGTTCCACAGCCTTGTTCACCCATTACACCTTGAGACCCTGGAATCCATCCCACCTGTCAGTTCCTATCATTTGGAGGAAGTTAATACTAGATCCAAGTGTCATGAAGGAGCACGCAATAACCTCTCCCGACCCATATGTGAGAAGGAAGCCTGATACGCAGGGACACGGTGGAGTCTTGGGAGCTGGATGTTCTGTCCATGGATGGCGATGCCCAAACGAAGGCGTGACTGAGGGGTAGCCTCTGCCGAGCCTTTGAAAATTTCTGTTGCTGCTAGGTGGCCCTTCACATTTTCTTTGATTCCTTGGTGGGGCGAACCACGGGCCGATACTGGACGGAGGCAGCGGATGTTATGCTTGACATGCTGTAAGTCAAGAACCAGCTGTCAAGGCCGCGACCTTCAAGCGCTTCCACTCAGTGGTCAAAGCTGGGTACAACGACTTGCCCTACCACAATTATGCACATGCGTGCGATGCAGCTTGGCCAGCAGCTTCTTCGACTCATCGAAAACGCACAGGATTCGCTGCATGGAGCCATGAATGCAGCAAGATTGAAGATTGAGGTGCTGCACACGGTTTACAGATTGCTTTGCCATTCAGCAGCGAATAAGTGGCTGTCAAGTCCGATCCTTACCATCGCCGCCGAATAAACGCGGTGAGAGCGAGGGAGAGAAAACAGACGAAGATGTTTTGTAACCACCACCAGACACGGCTAATGGCTAACTCTAGCCTATGCACCCAGGCCTATCTATTCGTCCGTAGGGTGTACCATGACCCTTAGCCAGGCATGCACGAGCCGTTGCATATTCAATGGCAAGAAATTTGTCCATTGCCAGGGCACTGCTGCAGGCGCAACGCGTCAGCGCATCCGGGGACTTTACCGTTCATCTGCATCTGCTATCCATGGTCAGGCCTGAACATCTGGAGCCCACTGTTAGAAATGACCAGGGGCGGGGGGGGGGGGGCGGCATGTCGTAGACGGAACCTCTTGGAAAAAGGCCTGACGCAGGCGCATGATCACCCTGTAAGCAAGGAGCCTCCGCCGTTAAGTGGGACTTTTTGATACATGCCTGCAAGAGAGGAATGCCCAGAAACGACCGTGGGTCACGGCCAGAACAGTGAAAGGAACCGTGCCTACTTAGCGCATCATCTGTTCTCAGCTTCATGAACTCCCGGATCTTCGGGTTCGGGGGAGCGAACCACAGCTACCGATTTGAGGTATCTCCGGACAGGATTCCTCGAAATGCCCCCCGCCTTTTAATAGGAACACCTCCGATTCTGTATCCTGAATAGTTGGGGGACAACCTCTGTTGTCTCTGTACATTAATCGGACATCCTCCATATATCAATAGGAGGCATGCCACCCAAAAGTCGAAAAGTGGGACCATCCCAAAAGTCTCAATTAAGCGTGTTCGCTTGCTTACTACGCGCTCAAAATCTAGACGTAGTGCTTCTTCCTGTGTTTTGAATCAACATATTTTTGAAGTGTAATTACTTGTGGCAAAGAAAATGCATTTTTTCTGTGAACACATCTTTTCTGGCGTGACGCAAGGGAGACAGGACGCATGGCATCGGTGACACCGCAAGACAGCATGCAGCTCTGCGGTATGCTTTGTGGAGGGGGAAAGGCGGGACCGCCCGAAGGAAAGTCAGGGAGGAGGCGAGTACGAGATAGGGCAACCGTGGAAGACAACACGCTCTCGGGGGGGTAAGCCAGGGATACGAGGGGGCGAGGGGGCTGGGGGAGGGACACTTGGGGAATAGTTGTGGGAGAACTCGGGAAGCTTCTAGGTGCTGGCCACAGCCTCCGAGGGCTAGCTGAGTTCCTTGTCAGCCGTAAGGTTGCAACAAGTGGGTATGCCCTAAATCGGTGCCGAACACGACCCTGGTTTTTCCAGCCAGACTGCGGGCTATGCCGGGGTTTGGGTGGGTGAAGGGGATCCTTTTTCGCTTGGACCGAAACAGGACCGCCTCACAAAAGAACAAAGGCAGAAACAAAGGTTTAGAGGGTTGATGAAGTTCTTCGTCTTTAATTTTAGACCATAGGTGCGCACCCCGGTCGCAGCTCAGTCTCGCAATCGCAGTTGAATGGCGGCAGAATCTTTCCCCCCGGTCATGAGGGCTGTCTCATGCTACCTTCCAGGCTGGCTGCAACAGAATAGTTGGTAGAGTCTCTAGGCAGCACATCCACCTCCCAGCCTTCGGATGAATCCCGCAGCAAGTCTACTTTTCACCAGTCCCTCCTCCCCAAGTGATCAGCGATTGGTTGGTGGGTTACCTGTTCCGATGACATTGCTCTCATTTCTCTCTGTGTCTCTTTCGCTGTGTCTCTCTTTCTCTTTGTGCATCTTTCTTTGTCTCTTTGTGTCTCTTTGGATATCTTGTTGTCTCTCTTCGTTTCTGTATCTTTTTTGGGTCTCTTCTTGTCTCGTTTAGTACGTTTTAGTACGTTTTTGTATGTTTTTGTCTTTCTTTGTCTCTCTGTGTCTCTCTGTGTCTCTCTGTGTCTCTCTGTGTCTCTCTTTGTCTTTCTTGGTCTCTCTTGGTCTCTCTTTGTCTCTCTTGGCCTCTTTTTGTCTCTCTTTGTCTCTCTTGGCCTCTTTCTGTCTCTCTTTGTCTCTTTTTGTCTCCTTGCTGTTTTTGTATCTTTTTGTATCCTTTTGTCTCTCTCTTTCCATTCTTTCCTTTCTTTCCATTCTTTCCTTTCTTTCCTTTCTTTCCTTTCTTTCCTTTCTTTCCTTTCTTTCCTTTCTTTCCTTTCTTTCCTTTCTTTCCTTTCCTTTCTTTCCTTTCTTTCCTTTCTTTCCTTTCTTTCCTTTCTTTCCTTTCTTTCCTTTCTTTTTCTTTCCTTTCTTTCCTTTCTTTCCTTTCTTTCCTTTCTTTCCTTTCTTTCCTTTCTTTCCTTTCTTTCCTTTCTTTCCTTTCTTTCCTTTCTTTCCTTTCTTTCCTTTCTTTCCTTTCTTTCCTTTCCTTCCTTTCTTTCCTTTCTTTCCTTTCTTTCCTTTCTTTCCTTTCTTTCCTTTCTTTCCTTTCTTTCCTTTCTTTCCTTTCTTTCCTTTCTTTCCTTTCTTTCCTTTCTTTCCTTTCTTTCCTTTCTTTCCTTTCTTTCCTTTCTTTCCGTTCTTTCCTTTCTTCCTTTCTTTCCTTTCTTTCCTTTCTTTCCTTTCTTTCCTTTCTTTCCTTTCTTTCCTTTCTTTCCTTTCTTTCCTTTCTTTCCTTTCTTTCCTTTCTTTCCTTTCTTTCCTTTCTTTCCTTTCTTTCCTTTCTTTCCTTTCTTTCCTTTCTTTCCGTTCTTTCCGTTCTTTCCGTTCTTTCCGTTCTTTCCGTTCCTTCCATTCTTTCCGTTCTTTCCTTTCTTTCCTTTCTTTCCTTTCTTTCCTTTCTTTCCTTTCTTTCCTTTCTTTCCTTTCTTTCCTTTCTTTCCGTTCTTTCCTTTCTTTCCTTTCTTTCCTTTCTTTCCTTTCTTTCCTTTCTTTCCTTTCTTTCCTTTCTTTCCTTTCTTTCCTTTCTTTCCTTTCTTTCCTTTCTTTCCTTTCTTTCCTTTCTTTCCTTTCTTTCCTTTCTTTCCTTTCTTTCCTTTCTTTCCTTTCTTCCCTTTCTTTCCTTTCTGTCCTTTCTGTCCTTTCTTTCCTTTCTTTCCTTTCTTTCCTTTCTTTCCTTTCTTTCCTTTCTTTCCTTTCTTTCCTTTCTTTCCTTTCTTTCCTTTCTTTCCTTTCTTTCCTTTCTTTCCTTTCTTTCCTTTCTTTCCTTTCTTTCCTTTCTTTCCTTTCTTTCCTTTCTTTCGTTTCTTTCCTTTCTTTCCTTTCTTTCCTTTCTTTCCTTTCGTTCCTTTCGTTCCTTTCGTTCCTTTCGTTCCTTTCTTTCCTTCCTTTCCTTTCTTTCCTTTCTTTCCTTTCTTTCCTTTCGTTCCTTTCGTTCCTTTCGTTCCTTTCTTTCCTTTCTTTCCTTTCTTTCCTTTCTTCCCTTTCTTTCCTTTCCTTCCTTTCTTCCTTTCTTCCTTCCTTCTCCCTGTGGTTGCTTTCCAGGCACTATATCCCACATAAGCAGAGTATTATCAGCTGCATGATAGAGCCAAAGCATGGCCTTTCATTGTTTCATGGTCTAGCACTTCATCCTGCTTCTCGCAAGCAGTGAAATGCTTACACATGGGTGTAGTGTGAATGAAGATCGCATTGCACAGGCTCGGGTGGGAATTGAAGAGAGAGGGAACTGAGGGAGCCAAAGAGGTGCGATGTGATCGGACGCGGCCGGTTCCCATCAGCCAGCCCAGGTGTTGACCAGTATGCGCTTCTAGTGGCTGCACTTTGTCATGACATTGGACATGCTGGGCGGACAAACCCTTTCTTGGTCCAGTCCTTATGCGCCACAGCAGCGCCCCTAGCAGATGAATCTCACACGGTCATCATGTCTTCCACATCAGGTAGAGCTGGGGGATGAACTGGCCTTGCGATACAACGACAAGCTGTGGGCCAAGTCTGCTGAGACACGCTTTAGAAAAGTCTGAGCCAAGTCCATCAGACGTTTTAAGCAGCAACCGTTTGTACAAGACTCCAGGTCACCATTGGAGAACATGCACTGCGCGAAGCTTTTCGAGATCGCCTCCAAAGACGAGTCCGATGTGTTCAAGTCAATGGACAAGGACACGAAGAAGCAAGCAAGGTGGTCGCCTGAATGTGTGCTTGCTGCTTGCTGACCAGTACTGTACTAGCGATGCAAGATGGTTGAATGCAGGCGCATTTGTATCGCTTCAATCCTTCACACGGACAACGCCAACCATTTTGAAATGGTGAGAGAGATCAGCAAGGCCGCCGAGTCGGGTCAGTGTGAACAGCTGTCAAACGTGCAAAGGCCAATTCTCATGTCCTGCTGAATGCCCGCAGATCTACGAAATGACTTCAGAAGTGTGCAATGCACAAGCTCGACATCCAGACCTGCTGCCCCAGTATGTTGAGCAGGTGTGGTCTTGTCGTCGTAGTTGAAGTACTGTTGCAAGCGGGCAGTTTCCATGCTTGTGGCCTGCCAAGTGTGTCCCGCGGTAGGTCATGCAGAAGAATTGCATGCAGTGGGTGGAGCTTTTCTTACACTTTGCGGACGTGTCGAACCCGTTGAAGCCATTTGATGTCTCGGACTCGGGTCCAAGTTGCACAGCCATGCCACTGGTGACTTCAGTTTTTCATCAAAGCACCACGCCGCAGATCTGCAAGAAGTGGGCCTGGCGGGTGTTGGACGAATTCTTCGAGCAGGGCGATGAGGACCGCAGTTTTGCAGCCAAACCTTCCCGGAACATGCTCGCAGTGTAGCAGTTGCAGGAGAAGCGCCTTGGCCTTCCCGTTGGAATGTTGAATGATCGCGACAAGATAAATCGGCGGAGACCTCAGCATTCTCCACACGGTCGAAGCGACCAAACCAGCTTGTAGCAATGTCTGCTCGATTGCAAACTTCTTACCTTGGTGTAGCTTTGGTGTAACGCTAGCCGTGGTAGCCTTTCTAGTAATTTAGGCCTGGCTCGCAGCATGGCTTCATCCAATTCCTGGTCGCGCCCCTCGTGTACACAACAGCACGAAGCTCACGAAGCTGAGACCGTTCTTTAGACAGGCAGGCCAGCATGGGCCATCTCAAGCCATGCCTCTCTTTTGGGTCTAAGGTGAAAATCTTCCCAGAGCTGCACCCTGCATCGGCCTTGGAGAACACCTGTAACACTGTCTCATCTGCTGGCTGTGAGAACCTCCGAACCTTTCAGGTGTATTCGCAAATGGCGGAGAACCTTGACCAGTGGAAAGTGCTGTGGGTGGGAGAGACCTCACCAAGTGATGAGGCGCGTTAACTTCGAAGCAAAATTCGCGGGACTCGTCGTGCGTTGACTATGCGGCCAGGACATTGCAAAGAAGGAAGCGGACGTGGCAAAGATCAAGGACCACAGACCGCTCCACCAACATTCCTTGGATTGCCTTGGCTCACTAATTTGAAGACTGGCTTCCTATGACTCCGTCCCACTCCCATGTCATGTTATCAGACGGTTGTGATAGCACTTTTCTTAAGGGATGCAAGCCCCCGTTGTCATGTGTATCGTGTGTCCTTTGTTCTCGATATTTTCGTGACACCACGGGGGTTGTGTGCATCTTGTGGCCGTCGCTAGTGTCGATTGTTGTAACTGCAGTTCTCTACGGAATCAGAGAGCATGTAGGGCCGCGTATTTATTTTTATCCTGATGGATGTTTTCCCCAAACAGCGCTTGCACAATGGGGTTCTTACGTTCAGGGTAAAGGAATTGGTTGCGGGCCGCAACGACACACGCGGGGCCTTGGTTTCGGCGCTCCCGCTGTGGTTTCGCGCATCAGCATAAACAGTCACCGATGCATCTCGTTACAATCTCGTTGCGGCGCAGGATCAAGCCTTGGAGCTTGAAACTCGAGTTCTTTGAGGTTCTCGGCTGCGTGTGAAAGGCTGTCAGTGCACCGAACCTCTCATTCGTCACAGCCTTGTGTCAGGTGACGCTAACGCAGTTTGAAAAGAAGTGACGGGGTGAGGAGCACCACCTCGAAGAGGTTTCGCACGCGCCTTACCGAGCCGTATGAACATGGTCTCTCTCATTTACACTATTTTACACTGTGAGCTGTGCGCAACTACCGCTACCTTTCAGGTGCTCTTGCCGTCCTTGCACCAGGTACAACGCATTGCCACTCTGAGCCGCGGCTCATGTTGCCTTCCTTGCCCAAAACCTCACGGAGTGAAGGGTTATGGCAGCCAATGCTCTGGCATGGCATGAGGGGAACGCTATACTTGATTGGTATCTGTACTTCCATGAGATTTGAAGTGTCCAGATCTAAGCCTTGCGAGACGACTGCGCTCCAATGCATGGGCCATGCTACTGTGCTCGAACTTGTTCACACCCGGCCCTAAAGGGGCCAATATCTGAGAATTATTGCCCGTAGAAACGAAAACAGCCTGGCTTCCTTGGCTGATCGAAGCTCTTGGCTGTAGCGCTCGAAGGTTTATTGAATGGATGGAGCGTAAGGATGCGTAAGGTCGTGCGCCGTTGCTTCGTTGCTTATTCTTCTGCCCAAAGGGACAGGTTGGTAGGCAGCGCGCACTGCCCAAGAGAAAGGAGGCTGCGTTGCCTTTGCACATTCTTGGGGATGACTGTCGTCCAAGTCTTGTGCAGGTGTACCGGCCCGATTCGGCATCGAGCCGGATACACAGCACATGAACGCGTAGTGAGGCCTGCTGCCCAATACCCGCTCTCGCCGGATGCTTTGAGAACTGAACACCTTCAGGTACGCTGCTGGCCCTGTGAACGCAAAGCGCGCCAAGGCGCCAAGCATGGAGAATGCGGGCACCTCTGGAGATGCAAGCATGGGAAGCCCAGCCAACGGAATGGCTGGTGGGTGTGGCTGTGGCTGTGGCGGCTGCTGTGGCGGATGCGGTTGCGGCTGTGGTTGCGGCTGTGCGCCCTGCTGCGGAGGCTGCTGCGGATGTCCATGCGGAGGCATGATGGCCATGCCCATGATGGCCATGCCTATGATGCCCATGATGAACCCGATGATGGGGCTCATGGCTGGCATGGCCAGCATGGCCAACATGGCAAAAGCCGCCAAGGCCCAAGCCGTGTCTGCTCCCTTTAAGTGCTCTCCTGCGTTGGTGACGTTGGTGCTCCTTTCTGCGCAGAAAATTGCATGTAGAAGTGTTTTGTACAAGCGTAGTTGCGAAGGCCAAGAAGAAGCCTCCAGAGCCGGAGGAAAAGAAGGAGGAGGAGAAGGAAGCCGCGCCTGCCGTGGAAGCTTTCAATCCTGAGGAGCTGCCTTTTGCATGGAAGCTATCAAGGTCGGCTCTTTCGATTTGCCAGCTTTGGCTGCTTGTTCTGTGGGTGGAGGAGCTGCAGAAAAGGCTTCTGATGGCCCAGTCACAAGCCTTCGCCGAGGCGGGGCGCTGCCGGGCGATCTGCAGCAGCAGGTAGCATTCAGAAACATGTGGCCGCCAATGTGGCCGTGACGAACGTCCGAGAAATCTGCAAAAGAAGCCGAGCCAGGATTCACAGATAGTCACAATTGAGACACAACATTGAAAGCGCATCGGCTCCGGTCGGCTACATTCAGCAAACACGGGTGTGAACCGGTGATGCACAAGCATCTCCTAAAGTTCTCTGGACCCTGAAATGTCAAGATGTTATCTGATGTTGCATTGCTTCCAGCCGTGGTGCGACTCTTCGGGCGAATCGGTCGCGGGATGCGTCTAGGTTGCCAAGAAAGACAAGGAGAAGGATGAAGAGGAAGAGGAGGCCTGTCTCAGCGTGATCGGCATGGTTGGTTCAGAGGCGCATAAACCCAGCAGATGGCTTTGCCGGATGCAGAACAGCCTCCTCTGTCATGCAGGGATTTCTTTTGGGGAGTTCCTGTGCCCTCTAGCTTTGTTGCCTTGGGTGAATGTCCTGAGTGCGAAAGAACTGCAGAGGACGACGAGCATTCTGAGCATTCGCCTGAGAGCGACGCTGAGAAGAGCGAAGCTGAACCAGAGGCAGGGCAAATCGTTGCCACGGGGCTGGGTTCACGCAAGAGGCCGTGTCCGTTTCTTCATGCTTTTTGCAAGGACAAGGATGCTCAGAAGTCGCCAGATGAGCAAATGAGCGCTGATGAGGCCCCACCCCCTCCACCAGAACCGCCCCAACCGCCACCGCAAGAGCCAGCCAAGGCTCCCAGCCCAACCGACCCCCAAGACCCCACGCATCCCACACCCACCGAACCCCAAGCCGCCCAACCTGCCCAACCTGCCCAACCTCCCCAACCTCCCCAACCTGCACAACCGCAGAAGGCCTCACCTCAACCCGCTCCAGCCCCTCAAGCTCAAACTTTACCAGCCCAAGCTGCGCAGAAGTCTCAGGCTCCTTTGACATGGCCTGGCCCTCCACCCAACACCGACCGGATGGACCCACGAATGCAGGAAACCCTGCAGAAACTCCAGGCGCTGCAAGGTGGAGCGCTGGGAGCGTCCGAGGAGCAGAAAGCCAGACGCATGAAGGCAGCGACCGCCGCAGCCGAAGAGATCACCATGTCTCTTGGGATGAAGAGCACCTCCGAGCCGTTGCCTGGGTTGGAGGAGAAGAGAGACTCCGACAAAAAAGAAGCCGAGAACGACAGCACAGAGAAAGCAGAGAAAGGCTCCAACACCGCCATGGGTGTTGTCATTCACTGGAGCGGCATAAGAGGTTTTGGAATTCTACGGTCCCAGACTCACGGTGAGGTCATCGTCCACGCCAAAGCGCTCATGAACACTGGCGAGTTAGCCGTCGGTGATGTTGTCACCTTTGAGCTGGGCTTCGACAAGAAGAAGAACAAACCGGAGGCAAACAATGTGTACAAGTCCGGTGCTGGAGGTCAGAAGCCCAACGACGGTGGGCGGACGTCGACCAGCAGTTCGGGGCCTGGCACTGGTCCGCCCGATAGTGATCCGGGCAATGGACTGTCCAAGGGTGATGCTGCGAAGGGTGCAGCAGGCGTGAAGCAGCTGAACGAGACACCCAAGGATAAGACGAAGGATAGTGCTGGCAGCAAAAAGGAGAAGAGGAAGTCCCGCTCACGGCGCAAGTCTTCTTCATCCTCGTCTTCCTCCTCCCGCAAGCGGAGGAGGCGGTCTCGCTCTCGATCCCGCTCACGAGGTCGCCGTCGGCGGTGACCTGTGGGCCCGGGCCTTTCTTGCGCATGCGCATGCTATTAGATTATTAGGTGCTATCAGCTTTACGAGCTCCAGCGATGACAGGTCGTATGGTCCAACGTTGGCCACACTATGGGGGTCTAGCATGTCCAGAGCTTGGGCATTCCTCAAGACGACAGCCTTTATATCAGGCACCCACAATTGGAGGGGTTATGGGGGTGGGGGGGGAGGGTTGGCAGCAAGGGGCAACGCCATGGGAAACAACACCACAGCGAACTTGCATGAAGACATGGCCCTCCACTACATGTCACATGTTTGGCTTGATAAAGGCATATAAAAACCATGAAGTGCTTTGTTTCAGTTGAACCCAGAGTTACGAAATTCGTAGATTGCATGGCCTGACTCTAAGTATGAGGGAATGGCTCGTTGCGTGTTGCTCACGTTTGGTTGTTTTGGGGCCTTGGAGCTTCAGCATGGTTCAGCACGGTTCAGCACATCTTATGCCCACGCTGAGGCTTCAGCCAGCCTGCGCTGTTTCCATTCTGAGGTGTTCGACGAGTAGCTAGTGCAAGTGCAGTTACCCGGCAAATGCCACATCCATAAAGAAGTGCAGATCGTGATGTTTGGCTGCTGTGCGCAGCAAGTGCTCGGCAGAAGCTCCGCTCCAAGCCTGTCCTCAATCTGCGGACCTTGAAAGTTCGGATCAAAGCTGACAAAAGCTCGGTTCATGTTTGCCACGCCTCTCGCGGGCAACAGCGGAAGCTCAAGGACTCACTTAGGCATCTGCCCTTGCAGTCACTTGCATGGAATCGGATCGCCATGGCTATGGCCCTCCTTTTGGCAGCTGATGCCGGGTTGGTGGTGCAAGAGGAGATAGGCGCTCTTCAAGGATGTTTTCCTGTGTCCTAATTGGTTTGAATTCTGTGTCTACATTGTCCAGGTTCCCTGGAAGGCCATGGCACATCGCTCCACTTCCATTCTAATTGGAGCACTTGCCTGAATGGAAGATGATGGCAACTTTTCTTTTGCGGGCATGCATCTTTGACTGAGCTTGGGGCTTGTTGAGGCTCTGGATTTTGCATCCCTTTGAAATGGAGCCACAGCACTGACAGCACTCAGGGCCAGAAGCACGACTGATTCGGAATGAATCATTGATAAACGCATCGAAGCTCCAGCAGCTCGAAGATGCCAGAAGAAGCCCTTTAGGCCACTTTAGGCCTATGGCTTCTGCAAGGCACAAACCCTAAATCATGAACGGTTCTTCCCCAAAACTCCGCTCAGCAAATTTGGTAAGTCCCCTTGGCTTCTGAAAGTGTCTATGATTCCCTATGCATATCTAACCATATCTTCCATGCAGCAATGCGTCGAGGGCATCCCTAATGCCCTGGGCTCATACACGGGTTCCAGCAGGCTGAAGAATGTGAAAAACCCAGAATGTCAAAGAAGAATCAATGGCAGATGGCCAGCATCCTCCGCTCTTGGAAGTTCCTGCTCTCGAAGCCGTGTTGTTTAGATTGACTTTCAGTGCCACCTGTCGCTGGCTTGAAGACTTGATGCGCTAGAAGTGGTACAAGACACGGGGTTGAATTTGACAGAGTTGGATGTTTTGAACGTTTTTCCTCTGGTTGCCAAGGAGCGGTTGAAGGATGACTCTCAAAGAGAGGTTCCGGCCTGGAAGTCGTGTGATCCTGCACGGCTTGCGGGCCAACGCTTTGTTCAACAACAGAAGGTGAGAAGGGGGATCTACAGGGGGGATCAGCGGGATCATCGGATCTCAAAAATGTCTCAAAAGCGTTCTGGGCGTATTGGGCACCTGCATGCCGAGACCTACGCTGCAGGGGCAAAGTCCTGAAGAAATTGGAAAGCGCGCATGGCCTCGCCGCATACGAAATCTGCCTGACGGACGGTCAGCTGGTGAAGGCTGCTACGGCCGAGGCTTCGTTGTGATCTTTGAGATCTCTAGTGCCCTGTGGGAGGCCTTGGATGCGAATCTCGACCCGGCCCCCGTCGTTGCCGAGGAGTATGGGGGGATCCCCGAAAGCAGCTCCTGGTCCACGGAGAATTGTCAAGGTTTCCCCATGCGGTCTTTTCAAAACAAGCCAGACGGTCTGGGGCCTCGAAAGGCCCCGCAGAAAACCCACACAGACGATGAATGGGGTGCAAAGGAGGTCCATGAAAAGGTCCATAGAGTCAGGGGGCTCGGTGGGAACCCGCGGGCGTCAACTGGGGGAGACCCGTGAGCTCTTTCAGGTTAATTCGGTGCATGATCACGGCAGATCGCGGCAGAGTCAGGAGCCTATAAACGCGCCAGCAAGTGGTCCATCGGAGGTTATGGGAGGTCCACGAAAAGAGGGACTCCTGAAACCAAGACCATCCAGAGGGGCAAACCTCCAACTTGGCTCGAGTGGTGTGATGACCTGACTGCTTGTTTTCATCTTAAAATCATCTTAAAATGTTTGTCGCTCCCTCACCCCATGACGGACTTCTGAGCGTGCGTGCTTACATGCTTTTTCTGCCGCGGAATTCCAGCCACCGCTGGGAACAGGAGTCTGGGAGTGACGAGAGTGACCAAGTCCAAAGCCCAGTTTTGGCAGCTTGGAAAGCAGTGCCCGGCAGTCTCATAATAAGCTTGGAAAGCTTCACATAGAGGCGCATCCAGATGCCGATCGGGCGAAGCTGGAGGAAGAGCTTTTCCACTTGCTGGACCAGTCCGGGGAGGGCATGCTCAGGCAAAGCCTGTCACAATGGAGCTGTAGGGCACATGTAGGGCCTCTCGGGATAAATTGCGCATAGGTCAGAAGCGCTCCATCATCTGGCAGTGGCATGCGGCTTCCAGCAGGGGCTTGTCAAGCTCGGGCCTCAACATAGAGCTAGGACCAGCTAGGACGACCTTGAAGCTTTTGACGGCAGGTGGGAAGATGAGTACCAGGCCCGCTGCCTTCAGTTGTTTTTGAGCACGGCAATCCAGAATCGAAGGCCTTGTGTAAGCTGTGCGGCACCTCGCCCGATGCTGGCTTCCAGCAGATGGACTTCGTCAAGCTGCTTTCAAACGAGGCCGTCTTGCAAAGTATTGCGCTCGTGGGCCTTGTTGGGTCACGTCGCCAGGCTCTTCCAACATATTGTGCAACGGAAGAGCTGGCTCACCTGGTGCCAAACATCCAACAGCTCATCAATGCTCACAAAGAGCAAAAGGAGCAAGCGCCCGGGGACTTGGGCATGTATGGCATGTCGCCCTGTGACCTCACCACAAAAGCCAGCACTTGCCTGTCCCAGTCCTGGACCAAGAGAAGGACGAAGATTCAAGGACGGGAATTGGGCACAAATCCAACAGTTACAAATGACTGGTACAAATGATAGAGGTATGCATAAGGCGAAGCCCACAGCTTAGCCCAACAGAGCTTTTGCATCGGCTGGCAGCGGAGACCCAGGAGCGAAGCGACGCTGTGAAGTTCATCTTCAAGAGCATGGATACGGACTCTGATGGGTTCTTGAGTGGGTCGGAGATGTGTCGGTTTGCGGAGCTGTGCGGCTTTGATGATGAATGGCAAGTGGAGTACGAGGTGCGGCCCTCTCCCCATCTCATCTCCTGCCCCCTATCTGGGCCCGTGGACACTCTCACTCTGTCTCGCTCACTCTCTCTCTCCCTCCCTCTCCCTCCCCTAGTCCTTGAGTGTTGGAAAGAATCTGAAGCCGTGCCTGTGCGGTTTTTTGTTCTGCTCAACAGACAATGGCTGCTCAAGACACATTGGTGCAAAGTTTCAAGCCGCAAAGGTCTTGTGAAAGCGAGCACGAGCCACTTCCATCTTCATGTTCCATGACACAGTCTTCTGAGACCAGTCAAGTCCTTTAACTGTTCACAACGACAAGGCGTTTTAACCGTTGCTCTGCCTTGTGATGTGATCTCTGAGCATGCGATTCATGCCGCATGTAAGCTTGTTGGCTTGAATGCGTTCGACAGGAAAGGCCACGTTAGCCGTGCAGATGAATATCAACGGATGCGTTTGTTTTCGCGAAGCGCGCTGCGAAAACGACAGTTCTCATATGTCTACCCACGGACGGCAGAGGACACAGGAATGGTCGGAATGGTCCCACCAATCTCTTTTTTTCGCTCTTGCTCACTGTTGCCCTCTGCATTGTTGGAGGTTGGTGGTGTGGCTGAGCCCATTGGATTCTTTCGTTTGTGGCCAGGTGATGTGTGAGCACATGGCGATCAACAAAGATCGCGGTGCCGATTTCGATGATTTTTACCGCCTGGCAGCCCGCCAATGTGTTAACGGTCAATGCTTGCAACGGCCACCGGTATGACGGATTGTCATGGATGGTTCATGTGGCACGCAGTGTGCAGCGGGAACGCGGATTGAAGGTTAACCATTTTAATTGCTTTTGCTTCTTGGAAGGAGACAGGGTTAGGTTGGCGGGTCACAAGAGTGTTTTGTGGGTTGGGCGCAATGTGTCCACCCAGGTGAGTGATCGAAAGAGCCACGTGTTCTGCACCCGCGAGGAGAAGAGAAACACTTGCGTGTCCACTGCGTGGTTGATGCCAAAACCAGCTCACGAACGTTCAAAGGAATTGCGGAGCATCGCAAGCCAGATTCAAGAGCGGCCTCTCGGTCCCAAAGCTCCCTAAAGAGCATACAGAGTAATACAGAGCCTCTTGTCTTAGACGAAGTGGATGCCTTGTGCTGAGGCGTGCATCGATTTCTGAGAAGCAGGCAGCCATTCGAATCCAGGCACTTGCTCGTGGCAATCTGGTGCGGCACCAGTTGCAGCGGCAAGTGAGCACGGAGCATGCCATTCCCGCTGGCCTTAACGTGGCAAGCTTAGCGTGACGAAGAATGTTTGCATTATAGTGACTGTAGTGTAGTGATTGTAGTGTGCACACACGGCGTGCGCAATCGAGGGCCGGCTCGGTCGATCTGCACCCAAGCACGTACCTCATGCTCAACAGAAACATCGTGGCAGCGTGGAAGCTCCAGACCCTCCGCCCGCGCCGCCTGAAAGCTGGAGGCCTAGTCAAGTTCAGACGAGCTTCCGATCAGTGGCACTTTGCGATATGGCTGAGGCGAATCAGAGGACCTTGCTCATGTTGGCGATAGAACCAGGATGAAGCAGGTCATCTTTCTAGGTGACACACAGGCATGATATCACATGGTGATCATCCAGTGTCATGGGGAAGCTGTGAGGACAGCTCGAGCCCTTGATTCAGCTTTTGGTGACTTTGGGCCTGCTCACATCGTTAATGAGAGTGCGAGGCTTGGTTCCCAGCAAAGCTGGTCAAGCTTCAACGCAAGTGCGCGCGACTTGTAAAAAAAGCCTCCCAGAGCCGACGTGGTTTCAGGCCTAATGGCAAGCACTCTCCCGATCCAGGGTGTTGTGACGCCTTGGGGTGGAGCCACCGCAGATCTAGAGAGATTGCCTGCCTGACCTCTGCTTCTTGAGGTTTCTTGTTGAGATCATAACAGTCATGACTGAGCCTCAGTGTGCAGCTTACACCGGGATCCTTCAAGGGTTCACAAAGAGTTCAACAACTGAATGCTTTGGGGAGTGCACTCTGAGCCATATTTCTGAGCCAAACTTCTGAGCCAAACGTAAGCGCCAAGTGCGGGCCAAATGCCGCTTCGACACAATGCCGCGATCGGATGCCCCGGTGCCGCAAGCTCCAGAGAACCCGAGGAGCGATAGGAGCGCACAGAGTGCTTCGCAGGGACCCCAGGCATAAGAGCAAATACATGCAAATACGATGCTCTCTTTGTGTTTGCCTTTTTTCTCCTCTTCTTGCTCTTCATTGCTCTTCTCTTCCATTTCATTTTGTGTGCTACGAGGCCCGACTGGGCCGCAGCACTGGAGTCTTTACCCGTTGGCAGCCCAGATGAAGGATGTAACGATGATGTAGTAACCCTTTTGCTTCGGCTCGTGGCCTTGGTCAGGCGCTGCCTCCGAAGTGGGATTGGGCCAAGTGCTGAGATACCACTTGACGTCGGCAATGTGCCTCTAATAGTCCGTTGAATTCATGAAATTTCGGCACAGCACAACAGCAGCAAGTGCATCGGCGTTGTGAAAATCCGGGCGGCGCGACACCGTCAGTAAGGTGGCTGCCGTTCGGGAAAGGCTCCGCTGGCTGCGTGTTTTCTTCTGACACTCTCAGACAGCTTCTTTTGTACAGGTCCGAAGGCTTGGCAGATGCCATCGACGCGTTGAATTCTGGGAGGCATCTGCGAGCAGATGTGTGTAGATGCGTAGAGGTGCGTATAGGTGTGTATAGGTGTGTCATGATGTGTCTTACGTCTCAGGTCGAGGGTGTACCGTGTGTATCGCGCTCGTTCTGGATTGCTCTGAGGTGCCGCCCTTTGCGGGTGGGCACTCCTTGTGCAGGGTTTGAGGCCAAACCAGCTGAAAGCTCGAAATCTTGGTTCAAAAGACGTGAATTCTCTTCAGCAGGCACCCTACTTTGCCCTCCGGCAGCTCGGCGTGCAACACTTTGAGCATGTCTTCGCGATCGATGCCTGTGCCTCAGTGCCCATGCTAAACCACAAGCCTGCAGCAAATGCGGCAGGTCGGGGTGCATGCCGCCAAGTTCTGTCGGAACTTGAATCATGCACGGGGCTTAGAGGAGATGCCCGGAAGCACCTCAGTGTTTGCAAGCTTCCAGCTCTTCCAGGCGAAGAAGGCGTGGCTTGGCCAGGCAGAGGCACCATCTTTCTTGATCTAGATTTTCGAAAACCTTTGGTTTGAGGGTCAAATGTCCAGGATGTTTGGGAATTCTAGATGCATGTTAGGAACAACGATGATGCGCAGCCGCCTAAACGCAGAAGACACACACACACACACAGAGACAGAGGGTGCCTTCGCATGGAAACTGGCTGGAAGGTTGCATCACGATAAGAAGCTCTTTAGGCACTCGACCCATAGTACACACACACACACACTTTCAGTCAGGAGGGGCAATGCAAGCACGTACTGTTCAACGTCTTCAACCCGACGCTGGTACCAACGCAGAACGCAGCATTTTCTCTTGGCTCAGCAATCGGTGAGCAACAATCCAGTGGCCTTCGTTCAATTCTGTTCTGACTGATTGTGCAGCAATCAGAATCGCATGCGGAAGAGCATTTCTCGTAGAGATGCGCTTGGGAAATTCGGCATGTCATCCCGATCCTTAGCCGACGATCAAGCTTCGAGGGGATGCCTCGGGTTGCCCACACAAACTTCCGAAATGCTTGCACTCAGTCTTCTCACGAGCTTGAGAACGATCACAAGGTCAGCTCGCTTCGCTGTTAACTTGAGACGCTGTCAGTAACCACCTTGCTGGGACCAATCATCCGGTTCCTGATGAACGAGACCGTATCTGGAACATTGATCCGGCCCTGAACGTAAAGCCACAGCAGCAGCGAGGAAGAACAGTGGTAGGGGGCTCACAGGAATTCCATCCATAACAGAACAGGTCCATGGAGATGGGACCCATAAAGCATAGGGTTCGGTGAGGGTCCTAGGCGTGTAGAGGGGTCCATAAGGGGCACCTTTGTGCAAGGGGTCCTAAAGGTCAACCATTAAAATACCTACATGGTATCATCATGCTTTGGTGTTTGCATCTTTCTCGTGTTTGCTATGTTCAACCAGCTGTTCCGGGAAATGTCTTTCATGGGTAAGCACCATCCTTGACCTGGTGAGATGCACTTTGTCGTGCCGCAGGGTTCCCACCTTCGGTGTGGGGTTGTTAGATTTTAAGCTCAACTCTTCTCCTCGCCCGGAACTCTTCTCCTCGCCCGGTCTACTCCTAGAGACCCCAGAGACTCCCTAAAATGCCCAACCCCAGAGAGCCCACCTGCCCCAAATTTTCCTGGACCAGAGACCCCCTCAAGTCCCCAACCCAGATCCTGGAGTGTTTAATTCCAGAGTCTGCCTGGAGCCCAGAGTCTCCCTGAGTCTTCCTGGAGTGCCCAACCCCAGAGTTTTTTCTTGAAGTGCCCAACCCCAGACAGTCCTGGAGTGCCCAACCCAGAGTCCTGAGTCCTGGAGCGCCCAATCCCCGGAGTGCCCAATTGAAGAGTCTGCCTGGAGTGCCCAACACGCCCAACCCCAGAGTCTTTCTGGGGTTCCTGCCCCTCGAGTGCCCAGCCCGAGTCTTGCTGGAGTGCCCAAACCACAGAGACATTCTGAAGTGCCCAACCCAGATGGGGAGTGCCCAAACCCAGAGACTCCCTGGCGCGCCCAACCCCAGAGACTCCCTGGAGTGCCCAATTCCAGAGACTATTTGCGCTCTTTCCTTTTAACGAGAAGCAAGGTGGGGATGTTTGAAGTAAAATCATGCAAACGTGTTCTTTTTATTGAAAGCTGGCACCACATCGAAACCCAGAGGAGCGGCCCTATGGCCCAGGGTTTGCACCAAGAAACAGCCCGAGTCGTCGAGTCGAGTCTATCCTACAATGCCCGTGAGAGACGCTGAAGGGGCGAATAAGTTTCCCAAAAAGGGGAAGCTTTACTTGAACACCGAGTTCTTGCACATACTCAACCATGAACAATGTTAATTGACCAGTGCAATCTTGGAGTGTTTGGAGGCAAGGCTCTTTGTTTCATGGCAGACGCATCTTGTATAGCGTGGCATGGGTAGTCTTCTTTCTCTTTCTCTTTCTCTTTCTCTTTCTCTTTCTCTTTCTCTTTCTCTTTCTCTTTCTCTTTCTCTTTCTCTTTCTCTTTCTCTTTCTCTTTCTCTTTCTCTTTCTCATGAAGCCGATGAAGCCGTTGTCAGGGTGACCTGATGCGCCTGGACTTGGCGCAAGTGCCTTCGGCGGACATCCTCATCGCAGGCTCCCCTTAACCGTCAATGTAACTGACCCATGAAGTTCAATGAAGCTTTGGGGGCCGTTGTGTATGTGCGTGAAACAATCCGAATCGAGAAGTCGAACGTTGCTATAGGGGGCAGGAGGAACCCCAAGAAGGTTCATGCTATCAAAGGCCCTTCCTCTATGGGGGGGGGGTACTTGGGCGAAGCTCGCAGCTGTTGTCTCCGATGTATCCTCCACAAGAAGTACCGCGGCGCTGAACGCAGCTGGCTCCTAGGTGCTGTGCCCTTGCGGCTTTGCGAGTGTGCTTGCCAACGTTCTTTGAAATAGAGGAACTTGGCAGCTTGGAAGCCTGCCGATCCCTTCCGTTGAGGTTGAAGTCTTCCGGGTCCATAGGGGCGGCGGAACAAGACCCCTTGGCGATTGAAGCTTGCAGAATTTGCGCGCGTTTCGCAAGCAATTGCCGTGCAGCATGCGTAGCGCACAGCCTCACTTGTTTGCTGGTCTTTGCCAACAGAGTCTTACAGAATCTTAGCACGAACCTCGATGGTATCTGCTCGCCTGTAAGTCCAGTAAAGCTCTGGCCAACCGGAATGCCAGGAACCCTGGAACCCGATCACAGGTGACGGTGGCCGAAGCAATTCTGCAACGCGAGACATGTATTACTCATGTAGCTTACAGAAACTTGCTTGATTTATGGATCTGGGTGCAACAAAGCCTCCTGTTGCCTGTTTGCGCCCTCTCCTGCCACATGCAAGAAGGTTGCATCGTGGTAGCACTCCCGTGCCCCAGCCGCGCTCCAGCCGTGCTCCAGCTCTTTGGAGCCGTGTGCTTTTGCGCTGCTGCCCGAACCCCCTCCCCCCCTACCCCCCCAAAGTTGAGAATAAACACCTAATCCGACCTAATCCTACAAAACCATGACAAGTTACCCAATCATTATACCACGAAAAAATAGTCCAAGCGGAATGGAAAAACAGTAATTCACATGAACAAGATGAAAGGTGGTGTTCTCATCCAACCCTATTCCACACATAAAAGGGACATCTACAACAAAGCTCAGTCAATCACATATGCAACAATCGTTCCTATCCAAATTAAAGTTTCAGTCAATCACAGATACAAGAAGACCCAGGAACACTTCGAAATGCCGCGAGGGGATTGTGCAAGCGATTGTTGCGAGTATTCTTAGCCTGCGTGCGCGTGTGCGCCTTTCTAAATGACAATTCCAAAGGTTGTGGCGGTGAAGATGTTCCACATGTGGGAAAGGTCTATGTTGGTCTTGTAACAAACATGCGTCCTTTTCTTCCAGCTGCCGTACATGTTCAGGACATCTGCAGCACATGCCACAAGTTCGTGTTGAGTCGACCTGTTCATGCGCGCCATTGACGTGATCATGATGGCTTGGCCCATGCAGGACCTCCCTGCCCACCCTGGTCTAAAATGGGCCGGCGTGAGGGCAGCCATGATCCTCGAGCGGCCGTGTTTTGGTCCCCCTGCAATTCCATTTCTGAAACTCTTAAAATTGACTTTGCCGTAACGGGCCAGGCGCACCATCGACTTGATTGCAGAGCTTGCTCGCCGACCAGGGGAAGAAACTCTCAGGTGCCTTAGGCCTTTGATCTGGTTTTGAGACAAGCCCACGATGGCCGCACCCTTGTTCCCTCATTGCCTTTGAGGTGCTTTATCCTCGAAAATGTAGATGGCATCAAGATGACTGATGCTTATGGATGCCGAGGGATTGATGAGATCACAAGGCAGCAGATGGCACGGTGATCGACATTCTTTTGAGACGTGCGCTTCATGGAAGCGCGGCCAGGCGGCTGCGGGTGGCGGCACCTGCCTTCACGGTGAGGCAGTGGCAGCAGAGCACTGTTTGCAGCTCCTGAAATCCAGCCCATGCTGAGTCATAGAGGATCTATGACATGAACTCGAAGGACATTGGGTTTGTGGCCTTGTCAAGCTTGTGTGGAAGTCTAGGGAAACACCATCTCACAGGAAGGCCCCAGGCCAGCGGGGAAACCCCCCTGCTACATTGCGGTGAAAGGTCAGCGGTCGCGTTGCGGCAGCTTGCGGCGTGTTGCGCGAATGGTCAACAGCTGGGGGTATCCCAGAAACACGGTGACGAGAGTCCAGCTTCAGAAACTCAACTGCGTTTTAATGTATCGGAGTTCAACGTCGTATGCCGGACACACAGTAGCGCCAAACTCCAAAAACCATTCCGCAGCTGCATCTTGCAAAGTCTCAGCTTCCACAAGTACCCGGCCACAAAGAGCTTCACTATTGGCATGTGCTTTCATGTCAAAGGCCCCCGCAAAAAGCCTGGTTTTGGATGTTGTATGTTTTTGTACCGCAGGACTACTCGCTGCCTCAGAATCGACAGCGTGTCTACTTTGTTGGGGTCCACAAGTCGATGCAAATGCCAGGGCCATAACTCTTGCAGGGCACGGCACTGCCGCTCTGCAAAATCCTGCTTCCCGTGTCTTCGTATGCGCGTTTTGAGGCGCAAGAGAACCTTCTGCACTCCGCAGATGGCCTCAGATGGCCTCAGATGGCCCGCTTTCTGGTTTGTATGCCCTTGCGATTCGTGCCATATGCCATTGTGGCTTTGGTAGGCCAGCGAAGTTGTAGTGTTAGATGAGTTAGATGCTCTTGTCTTCCCTGTGCGCTACGTGATCTCATGGGTGGGCTTGGAAGAATGGCAACGAGAAGACATGAGAGGGAGCCGCTTGAAGCGCGAGGGTATTGGCCGAATTGGCTTGGCCTCCACTGTTGGCGCATTGCCTCCGTCGGAATGGACAGCAGCTATCAGGATTCTATCGCGGGCTCAAGATTTTGGCCTTCGCCCCAGTCGTTTCCTGGCGAGCGCGTGCGCAAAATTCAATGTGTGGTCTCGTAGCGTGCAGCTGCTAGCATGGCTGGAGGCGGTTTGGGGACGACCAGATGCACACTTATATGCCACCGTTGAGACTTCATGTGCCAGGTCAGCGCAGTGGACAGCAAGCATTTTCATCCTCGAGAAGCTGGGCCAGCGAGCCATTTCCTCTCTGGCTGCGCTGAATGCTGCAGCACAAGCTGCATACCAACAAAGGCGCTGGACAGGAGCCTTGCATCTCCTTAGGCACGCCTCTAAACTGGCACCTGGTGCACCCACTGATGCTATCAGCCTTGTCATCCAGATGACCGCTCTCACGCACGCAATGAAATGGAGCACTTGTCTCCAGGTCCTTGCAGGTTTGTCTGACTGCCGGGTGCTTTCAAAAGTCAGCATTGCACAGAACGCTGCAGCAAATTGTTGCGTCCAATTCTCGGCGTGGGCTTCCACTCTCCAAGCGCTGGCCCCAACGCCAAGCTCAGCCTTGGCAGCCTTGGACCCTGTCAGAAGCAATACGATCCTCCGCGCACGAGGCATGTCGATGGACTGGCAGGAAGCCAGCGCGGTCTTGATAGGAATGCTGAACGTACGTGCCAGCGCCACCACGATAACGCACAACACCCTCTTGAATGCTTTTGCAGGTTGCGAGAAGTGGGAAGAAAGCTTGTTGGCATCTCAATCAAACCCATCGTCGGATTTTTGTGACGAGGTAACTTGTGGGACGGCCATGGCCGCATGCCATCGGGCACGTGCTTGGCAGTGCTCCTTATCTTTGCTGAGATGGAGACGGACCTGTCAGCCCGGTGAGCCTGATGTCGTGTCGATCAATACTGCGATAAGCGCCACTGTCCGGGGGTTATGCTGGCAGAGTGCCGTATCAGGGCTTTTGAAGCTGGTTGACGGTGCAGAACAGGCTTCCTTCGGGGCATGCTTAACTGCGGTGTCATGTGCTCGCGAATGGTCGATGGCACTTACCTTGTTGCGTCGCATTCCTGCATTCAGGTTGCAGCTGGATTTGCTAGCTCTTGCACCAGCCCTCCTTTCGGTCGATTCTCAGTGGCGCGTGTCTCTTCAACTGGCTGCGGAAGCTCCTTTTGGTGGTGTTGCCAGCTGGGCACCCGTGCTTGAGTCGGCATCTCGCGCAGCAGAGCTGCACCACTTGCCGGCGTTGCTGGAGAACTTGTCAAGCAGGCTGCAGATCTTTCTTGACGGCTTGGCAGCGGAAAGGTGGTCTGAACTATTCTGAACTGCTTATGAGAAGCAAAGCCAACGCCTGCAAAGTAGCAATGCCAAGTAGCAAGCACAAGCATTTTCTACCGCACTAGATGTTGCATGGTAGTGCGTGAAGCGCCGCAGGCCCAAACATGAGCCTGGACCGAAGTTGACGGACGGACTGAGAACAGGATAGACAAGGCCGACAAGGCATTCCAGATGTGAGAGACGCAGGACTGGCTTGTGAAGCCCGACTGCGTGCCTGATAATTTCAAGCAGGTCCGCTCTGGGGAGGGCTGATGGGCAGAGGCCGCGCAGGTTTTGGTGATGTCGGATTGCTGGTCCTGTCAGGTTCCTGAAAATTTGAAGACGAAGAAGAGAAAGTTCGTTGCTTGCTTCCACAGTATTGTGCCTAGAGACATGACCACCAGAGCTGCCGAGCAAGGACCAGAAGTTCGAAGAACTACAGTCAGTCAGCGACTTTGGCTTCGAACGCGTGCTGGCCACCAAAAGTGCTCCTGAGACATGTAGCCGCAATTGGAACTGGAAGGCACGCAGACGGTGCAGCGCTGAGTTCAATCAAGTGCACATGCGATTGGCTTCTTTGCCATTGCTGTTGCAGAACCAAGCTAAGGGCCAAGCTACCTGAGTGGTCGGTGGTTTGTCAGACCCCCAATGCCTCAGCTCCCTTGGATGTCACATCTGTGCATGCAAGGCAGCTTGCCACAGAGCAGGTGCTGACATTGCGCGAGATGTGGAGTCACCCTTTGCCAAGTTTCGCACTGTCCCTCGGCCTCATCGTTCCTCTGATTACCACGAGGTCTTTCAAGACACGCCCAAGTCACATGAAATCGCGCAACCCTTCCGATTAGGATGTGATGGGGGCCATCGTAGCTACGCCACCTGAGCCCAGTTTGTGCCTCAGAGCGCAGCAGAAATTGCAGGTTTTCCAATGCGATGTTGCTGGAAAGGGGGTTGGCTGTGGATTCGAGATGGGCAGCAGGCTCATGGTTCGTGAAAGTTGTCCCACCTGTGAAGTTTCGTCAAGCTTCGTTCACCCGTTTTGTTGACCTGGTCTGCTGCGCAGGTCACCCAGAGGTCGTAGCCCAAGCAACGTTACACGCTTCGCACGCCTCGCTGTTGGAATTTGCTGGCTAAGATTCGTACTTCCTGTTGAACTTCTGCACCTACAAGGATTTCCCAGTAGGCAAGACACGTGTGCTGGGTTTTCGATAAACAAGTGGCCAAGCCTGTCCTCTGTTGCAGGGATCCTTTGCTGGCCAAAGCTTTGAGTGGCCTTAAGGATCAGGACTCGCTTCCGCGCTTGGCAAATGAAGGGGTAGACCAGGCCACTATTGATCTTTGCGGATAGTAGGATGTTTGACACAGCTGCTTGTTGTGAACATCTCGATGTTTGCTAGAGCCTTGTACCAAAGAAGGCTTGCGTGTTGTTTGTTGATGCTGCATCTCTAGGAGGTCATCATGGGAGCTGGAAACGCCATGAGCGTGCTGGCCTTGTTCGTTGCGGTGGAGAACCTGCCTCCTGCTGCTCGTTGCTGCTGTTTCTCATAAAGCTCCCTGCTAGGTTCCCGTGATTGGAGCTGTGCTGGCAGATGTTTTTGTAAAGACTCTCGTTGGAAGGCCTGCTGGTGCGAGGCTGCACGAGCAAGCGGCTTCTCTCTCATATGCACACAGCAAGCCCTTTGCAGGCTCGATGCCGCCATGGAGGCCGATTTAAGCCGTCTGCGCTGGAAGCCGGGCAACTTGTGGATTGCAGGTCTCGGATTCCGAAGACGCAGAGGGTGGAGATGACAGTCAGGTGCCTTGCTTTGAACCGTGACGGGAGTGTGAACATTCGGCCTGCTGAGGGGCCAAAGTTTCCACGTTTTCGGTGCGGGTGCTGGCTTCATCTCAGGAGCTGATAAAAGTGCCGAATAAAGTTTGCGATGCCCATTCCGACACACCTCTCTCATGCTCCTGGAGGAATCTGCCGGATGGGCCTGGTGGGCCACTGCCCAACTTTGTCCAACTTGTTCCGGTGAAAAGACGAGAAGTTCCATCATGTCCTGAGGGACGCCGGTGATGTTTGTGTGCACTCCGGTCGTCGGAATGAAAAGCTGGTCTTGGGACGAGATCCAAGGTGCTTGGAGTGCTGAAATTGTGACACAAGATTCCAATCCTTTCAGGGCGAGTGAAGACAGCCATTAGCCGTACCAGCCGCACTTGGCAGGCGAGCATCTGGGCTTCTCTTGGAGGACCCTTTCCGGGACTCATGCTGCTGCAAGACTTCAAGATGTACAAGCAAGGGGAAATAGCTACATGTCGGCTCAAGGCTCAAGATTGCACAGGGGCGCCCGGCCCCAACTACACCGATCTTAATCTAAGCAATCTGCGAAGCGGCGCGCTGAAGCATCCAGAAATCCCGGACTGCCTTGTTCTGCTTCTTGCCAGGCTTCTTATTTTCCTGGCACGTTGCCACCAGGATAAAAGGTTTCAGATCTTGGGATTTCTTTTCTACAACGATATTTCGCATCTTCTTTGACCGCCTTGTTCCGCCAGATGCAACAACAAGATGTGTATGCAGCACGCCTTCCTGTTGGCAGTAATGATTTCGGGAGCTCATCAAAGGAGATGGGGGCAGAATAACAAGACTAGCACAAATGCGCCTAAGCCCAAAAACCCTCAAACTACCAAGCCCCGAAACCCCCCAGAGAGAGAGAGAGAGAGAGAGAGAGAGAGAGAGAGAGAGAGAGAGAGAGAGAGAGAGAGAGAGAGAGAGAGAGAGAGAGAAAGAGAGAGAAAGAGAAAGGGAAAGAAGAATGAGAAGAAAGAGACGTTGAAAGAGAAAAGAGAGAGAGAGAGAGAAAACACAGGGAAAAGAGCGAGAAAAGAAAGAGATAGTCCATGCAAAGGCAAGCCTGCAGCTCGGAGCCAGCCATGGTGGGGAGGTGCTTGAACCCAAAATCTGCGTTTGAACCATCACTCATAGTGGTAGTGGTAGTGGTAGTAGTGGCGGTAGTAGTAGTAGTCGTCGTAGTCGTAGTCGTCGCGGTCGTAGTGGCGGCGGTGGTGGAATAAGCAAGCGGAAAATGCAACAAGCAACTGGAAGGGTTTAGCGCGGTGCACATGTGAGATTGTGGGCGGTGCTATAGGCACATGGAAGAGAATTTGGGCGGCGCAGTAAGCAAATGGAAGGGTTTTAGCACAGGAGGCGAGGAGAATGGGGTGGGAGGGGGACGGACAGTTTAGGGCGTCTGCGATTATGTCCAAATGTCTATCCACCAGAACAATTTGGAGAAACTGCAGCACGGGTGCCCAAAGGGTTACGGCCAGTTAGAAGGATGCAGGAGTGTAGGTTGGCTTTAGGCTGTGGACACCCTCACGGCCCCACGCACCCCGAGTCTTGCTCAGTTTGGTCTTCCTCCTCTTTGAACCTCTGCGACATTGGCCCAGGGGGGGCTGCTGCCTGCTGACTGCTGCATGCTTCCCGCTGCCCGCTGCCCTGAGGGCAGCCACTGAAGGGCTCGCGAAACAGAAAGAGAGCGCCAGAGAGAGAACCGTGTTGGCTCACCAGATCGCAAAATGGAATGTGGTGGGACTGACAGCATATAATGTGCCAGAGCCCTGCGGAACACTTGCGGAAACACCGTGACTTGTGATGCTGGACTGCTGGACACTATGACAGCAATGAGCACCGGCAAATGTTTTTGGCAAAGCCGAAGGGGCATGGAGAGGAAAGGCTGTTCTTGCAAGCCCACGCTGGCCACACATCACCACACATAGGAGACATCAGCGCCCAGTCACCCACCCTCGGGTTTCAAGACTCGTCCGACGGAACGCGACCATGACATGTACGCACATTCGGGGACAGCGAGGCAGGTCGACTGCCAAGGATGCCACGATCACTTCCCCTCCTCCCTTGCCACCACCGGTTGGCAAGAAGAAGATGAGACAGGTTAGCCGCAAAAAGAGCAGGGAGGAGGTTTGTGGCTTTAGTGCCTTCTTTGCTCATGTACCACAGAAAAATTTTCACTGAAGAGTATATTATTTCCATAGACTTTTACTTAGAAAAGGAAGTCAGAAGCAAGCAATAGGGACTAAGCGGAGAAAGGAAGATGGTAGGAAGCAGGAACAGGAAATGTCCTCCTTTCCAGCTTGCTTGTCCCTTCCCGAGTTCTTTCTTCGTCTCTATCTCGTCCTCATTGTCTCGTGCCTGAGGCAGGAGAACGAAAGAAGGAAGGACAAAAGTGGAGACACGGGCCTCCTTGCTCTTGAAGCGATATGGTATGATACAGTGCTGAAAGGGCGGATGCTGGGAGAGGTGCACGCCGACAGCCTGGATCTGCCAAGTCGCTTTTCCCTTCCTTGTGGCAGACGGAAAACACCCGGGCAAAGACTTTTCGATTATATGGAGAGGAGAAGGTCACATCGTTTCCGTCATGATGACCTAATGAGAATGTAACGAGTGCCAGGAAAGGTGATGTGCCACTCTGTCTTTCCAAAGTTTTCTGGGAACAGCAAGAACGGCTTGAGCTTGTCGTTTTGTGTACGAATCCGTCTTTCCTTCTCTCATGACTCACGAATACTGAATATGCAGCATATTGGGAAGGGAGATGAGGAATCAGAAGCAAGCAGAAGAAACAGGAGACGTCCTCCTTCCTGGCTTGCTTGTCCTTCCCGAGTTCTTTGCTCGTTCTCACTCTGTGTCTCGGGAATGAGGAAGGAGAGTCAAGGGGCGGCTGCTCAAAGACCTTGGAGAGCTGCATGCTCGATCAGCCTGGTGGCTTCTCTTGTGGGATCCCGGCAAAGTTCTTCCTGATAAGGGCAGATGAAAATGGAGGTGGAAAGCGGTGGCGGATGCCCCAGCTGGGAGATGACCTACTCTCGTTTTGCTCCGCGTCCTGTTTCCTTTATCGAGAGAGACTGCAGAGGGGAACAGGAAAGGACCGGTGAGATGACGTCACACTCAGTCGTTTCTATTCTGGGAACATCAGAACAAAGCAGAAAAATGAAGACAGCGGATGGGTGATGACG